CTTCATATGGCGAGGGTTAAAAATAAAGACCATGCGTAACATGTCAGGCTGTAGCTGGGCGGGTTTTTCGGACGCGCAGAGGAAGCGCAGAAGAACAGCCCTGCTGGATCAGACCCAAGGCCTCTCCAGTCTCTGCACTGGCCAATCTTAGAGTGCACATGTCGACTGCTTTACAGAGGAAGGTCCTGTATCTGAAAGGCTGTCCGAGGGCAGTCCTGTTTTTGAAGGTATCCTTGGTTTGCAGGGCCGCTCAGTCCAAGTCTGGTTTAGCAATAAAGGCCCATAAAAACGGGGAGATCACGGGCTGTAAAGTTGCACATCAACAGTTAGCACTTGGACACAGACTGAGCAGGCTATGCTCTTCCCCACTAGAGTGAGGTGTATGGTACTTTTATTCACATTGTATTGATTATTTCTAAATGTGTTCCTATGGTAAGGAATTCATATATGCAAATGAGAGCCAGTGTGGTGTAGTGGCTAAGAGTGTGGGACTGGGACTCAGGCAACCTGGGTTCCAATCCCTGCTCAGCCGTGGGTCCAACTGGGTGAGTTAGGGCCAGTAACAGACTCTCAGCCCAACCTACCTCACAGGATTGTTGTTCTGGGGATAAGATTGAGAGCAGGAGGAGAATGAGGAAAGCTGCTTTGAGTTCTTTGTAAGAAAAAAGTGGGATAAAAATCTAATAAATAATAAATAAATGCAATGGAAATAGGTATCTTTTCAGTGATGATGCATTTCTTCTTTGTGGATGATGTACAATGGCCTCATTGAGCCAGATGCGCACAGACAAGCACATAGGAGCACCCAGCAAGTGGTAATTAAAGTCATGCTGCCTCAGCTGCTGGAGATCACAGCCTTGGATAGCTTTTCCCTCCATGAACATAAGACCCATAGATATCAGTATGTTTACTTCTGGGTGAGCAAACTATTAGTCTATCAGTCATTATGTCTCGTTATGGACTCATGCACACCCTCACACGTCACTGCATCTCGGAATAGTCTGAAAATTAGATTCACCCTGGAATGCTGGAAGAATCGGATGCCGACAACACAACATTTGGACGTATTTTTTTTAAGTCTGAAATACACCTATAGGCAGAGGAGAACTTCCAGTTGCCCAAGAATTCGAAATGGCTTAAATATTGGTAGAGAGCACTGGGACTCCTCAATCATGTATGCTAGCATAACTGAGGTAAGGACCAAGTTCGTGCTTCAACTTATGTACGGCTTAGTTCTTAATATTACTTTCCTGCAGTAATCTGCTCTGAAGGACATTCTTAATACTGACTCTGATTTCTTCACCATTCAGAATAACGGCGTTTTGACATGTGAACTCTTTATGAATGTGAAATCAGCCCGTGGCGAATTAGCCATGTGCTGGCATTATCATCACATGGGCTATTTGTGACAGAGGAACTGCTGACTCTAACAAAGAGCTCCTTGATGAGGCATCCCTTTGCCAGCGGCAATGATGAATTCTTTTTGGAGAAGGAAGAAAATATACCTGAATACAAAAAAGCTGCCTACTGAATGTGGATCCTTGCCCTCTTTTTTTTTTTTCTTTCAATGAATATAGTTCTTGATAATAGAAGGATCACTGTACCGCTCTTCCTTGCCTTGCAATCTATGCATTGTTTTCAATGTGTGCTTTTTTACATGAAGTAGCAGGCAATTATATGCTAAATGAACCTCCTACAAGAACCTGTGCAACTCTTGACATGAACTTCAGAGTTCTATCCAGTCAGAAGTAAGTCCCATTTAGTTTAATGAGTATTACTCCTAGATAATTGTATATAGTACGCTTCAGATGTTTCAGAGCACAACTCCTGGCATCACCAACCCTTGACCATGCTGGCGTAGGGTGGCCATGTGTCCTCTTTTACAAAAATCCCTGTTTGAAGGGTTGTCAAACAGGGGACTACCCTCTCTTCTGAAGGTACCCTCTGTTTGAAGAGCTGCCAAGTTTAAACTCAACCGAAAGAAGGAAGAGTTAGGCCTTGAAGTTGCCCATCACCAGCAACAGGAAAGCAGATTGAAGCTGATGGGTGACAGTCTTCCATAGTTTTGTATTACATACAGCCCCTTCTAACCATATAGGCAGTGATAAACCAACACAATTTTCATGTATTTGCTGGTTGCATATTTTACTGCTCTCCCTATCCCACACTCATGTACTTTCTACTAGTTGTTGTTATGTGTACAAAAGATTTGTAAGCCATCTTTTAGGGCAAGCCTTTCTGAGGTTACATACAACAGAATTTCAAAATAAAAAAGCATAAAGAAGAAGAAAACCATTGTAAAAAACAGAAAATCAAAGTTAACAGTTAAAAACGTGTATCTGTATATATAATATTTGTTACAGAAATCATTCATTTTAAAAACTCTTTCATCCCACTTTTAGTTAACAAGAATCTGTAGGCTGAGCCCTTTGTCAGCTTGCAATGGCAGGTGTGTGTGTGTGCGGGGGGGGGGGGGGCTAACCCAGGTGGACCACCTAAGGGTCCAGGTGGCACAGCTCACCCGTTCGTAGTTCTCTGCTACCCTCACACTCACCGAAGGAGCAGCAGGACTGGATCCTCCAGCAGCCTACTTACACCAGAAAAATGCTCACGTCTTGACAAGCAAAGATGGATGGGCAGCAGATGGTGTCATCTCCAGCATGGAAGTCAGCTAAGAGGGATGCCACACCTGCTCCTTTTTTCCTTTGTCATGAAGCTGCCAGGGGCGCAGAAGCCCTGTTGGAGCTTGGCGGCTGAAGACTTCCATCAAGACCGCAGATGTTATTCAGGAAACACCATCTCCATGGCACATGTGTGGTTGCTGTGCTTGGAAGGGGCCGCTACACAGGTAGGGATACTTTCCCCATACCTGCAGGCAAGGCAAGGCAAGCCAGAGGGGCAGGTGGGCAGGGAGGAGAACTCTTTCCTAGCAGCTTCCTGTCGTTCAACCTGGACATGAGTTAGAAGGCAGCCCCCCTTGCCAAGCAGACCGAGGCACCCATCCAAGGGGAAATGCCACCAGTGACCTACCCTGGTCTACCTCAAGGGGACAGAAGCGAAGACAAGCCACTGGTGTGGAGGGAGCCACAGATGCAGAAGGTGCTGGAAAATGCTGAAACTGTCCTTTGTCAAATCAGGATTAACCACCAGTGGGGATAGGCAAATGGAGGGAGGGATGATGGGAAGAAGAAGGGCAGAGGGGAAGGGACCTGCCGCAAGGCATGGGACCTCCCTGACTTGTGCAGCCGGGATGGCCAGCTGTGCTGCCTCCTGCCCTGTCTGCAGGCAGATGGCCATAGGCTGGAGCTCGTCAAAGCACAGCCGCGTTCCTTCTAGGTGTGTGCTCTGCAGTCGTGCGTGTCCCCGAGATGCTGGTGTCCCTGCACCTGTGGACCCAAAGTGTCCCACAGGAGCCCCCAAGGCAGCAAAACAACACCCAGCCTCCAAGGCAGCAGTCATGGTGTGTGCTGAGGGGGGGAGTGGAGGTGGGTTGGGACGCCCCCCTGTGGCTGCATAGTGAGTGGTGCTGCTCCCTGGAGAGGGAAGCCCAGTGGCTGCAGATGTTACAGAAGCTGTGGGGGAAATGGGAAGAAGTCCGTGAACGGGCGCTGGGGTGGAACGCAGCGGCAGGGCCCATCTCTTGCCCCACACACACCATGCTTGTCGCAGCCACCTGGTTGTAGGGCACAGTGTCTCCCATTGCGGGGCTGCATGTCCTGGGAGCCTGCTCAGCCTCAGAATGCAAATTGAATCGACCGGTTTGGAGCCCAATGCGCTGCTTTCCCAACACTGTCTGCGCAGCATAGGAGTTTTCAGAGCCTGAGCACCGGGGACTGGCAACCTTGGACTCCAGAGGCCGAGCCCCCACCCTGCCCCCTTGAGGGTGATGTGGAAAGAGGGTGACATGCCAACTGCTCCCCTCCTGAAGTCACAACTGGGCCTTGATGGAGGAAAAGGGGGGCATGTCGGGGTGCAAGGAGGCTGTGATCACGGAGTTGTGATGCTTCCAATCGACACCCTGACCTCCATCTTGGCCTGAAAACACACTGGAGAGCCACAGCAGTGACAGAGGTTGCCAAGGCCACACCTCACATTTTGCATTGGAAGCTCACAAGCCTCTGTGCCTGCAAGTTTATATGCTGCTGCCATGAGGCAGAATTACACCCTTTCAAAATGGTGCCCCAAATGGCATGAACATGGCAGGGAGGAGAGGTTCTGTGGTTCGTCAGTAGTGATTCGATAGCCAATAGGACTTAATGAGTCCTAATAATGATGGCAGCCAGCCACATCAAGCTCATGGTTCCCACACAGGCGCTAATTTGGGGGTGCAACTTTCATTTTCCCAGTAGCAGCAATTTATGACAAGGCATTTATATTTTATTGGAGCGTTGTATTAACCGCTTAACAGGTCTTCCAACTGTCTATGACAATTTGTAATTTATGTAAGTTATTGTAGCTTTTAAAAATTTGGGTTTACATTTGTATTCTGTATTGTATTTTTTTTAAAGTTTAAAAAAGTTTTTATTGTCATTGTATTTTGTATTGGATTTTATTCCGTTTTATATATTATTGTGAACTGCTGCCAGAGGGGCAGAACAGAAATAACAACAACAATATTCAAGAATGTTGCCCTTCAAAACAACTGAATAAGAACTCTGGTGCTTTAGATAGAAAGTGTTTGTATTGCACAAAATAGTGGAACGACTACTCTGACTCATTCGCATAACTATGTGGCAGAGCCCCCAAGTTGTTTAGTCCGTATGTGGGCCTAGATACTTGGCACTCTGTTGCTCAAGCTACTTGGGAGAGGTTAGGGGTGGAAATAATGGAATCTGAAACAGCAGAAGCCATTCTTTGGCTTGAATCCTTCACGCTAATTAGACTGATCAAAGGCTGCACTGCCAGGAACTCAAACTCGTGATCATCATGAGAGCTAACTAGTTCTAAGAAGGACATTTGTAAAAGTAAAAAAAGAGAGAGATAAAAAAGTCCAGTTATGTGTTTTGTACTCAGGCATAGTCTGGGTTGGCAGAAAGGTATGTGTCTCTTTCTTTCTTTCTTTCTTTCTTTCTTTCTTTCTTTCTTTCTTTCTTTCTTTCTTTCTTTCTTTCTTTCGATTTTCACAGTTTTAAGTTTCAGCTGAAAACTTTCCTTATTTCTGAAAAATGTAATTGATAAAGAAATACGTTCCTTGAATTGTGCTGAAAGTCTGTCTGTCCTTTTAGTTCACAGCAGAATTTACTGTTCTGCTGCTTTGCTGAATCCAAAGGGTGTAAGCCTGCATACTCTTTGGCGCTTTAAATACTATTGCATTGAATTAGACTTGAACTGAGTAACTGTGAATAAAACTGTAGCCAAAATATTTATCTGTGTGCTTTTCTAAGGGTGAAACCGTATAAATTAGATTAAACCATTCAGTTTCTTTGATATGGAAAATTAAGTTTCCTTGGCTATTCATACAAATGACCAGACGAATCAATCAGAGAGTTTTGCTAATGACATTAGGAAAAGCAAGAACACATACAGGGCAGCAGGAACTCAAATCATGCATATTATATTGCATGTTGATTTGGCTCGTTTACAAAGCTATATTCATAACGAAGCCTAAAAATCTCTTAAGCCAAAGAAAAAGGCAAAAGAAAATGCTCTCTGAAAACTGCACGATTGTGCTTGTCATGTATTAAGATTCTTGTTTTTATAATTACAGCCAGTCTTTCACAGGCATAGGAATGCACACTTAAGGGTGTCTGATGTGTGTAGTCTTACCTTGTCAATGGTTGTATGAGTTTTGGCCGTCAAAGGGAGGTGCAAAGCGGAGGAGGTAACATACAAGGAAACTGGCAAGACTACGTGTAGGTTAATTTGTTCACGGTTGCCACTTGTGAATTTGATAGCTGTCAACTGAAAATTAAAGGGCACCAAAAGGGGTAGCAACCAAGTGACAATGCCAGCAATGCAATCTGCCTTTGCTTTTTAAGTATTGCACTGGTTGTTCTCAGTGCCCTTCACCTTCAAATGCACCTGAGCGAGCGCCTCTCTCCATATCTTCCTACCTAACCACTTAGATCCTCTTCGGAAGTCCTCTGGTCACCCTCTCCTAGTAGGGTCAAAGAGGAAAGGGCCAAGAGGGGGGGATTCTCAGCAGTAGCGCCTAAACTCTGGAATTCAGTCCCCAGGGTATTATGACTGTCACCAACTCTTCTTTCTTTTAGGCACCAGGTGAAAATTTTTTTATGTAAACAGGTTTTTGCTTAATTTAATTTGATTTGATACTTTTATATTTTGCTATGGATTACTTATTTTAATTTAATTTTGGTTAATTTTTTGGCTGCATTTATTATGGTACAAATGGCTATATTTTATCATGAGATGTTATCTATTCTTGTTTTATCTATTTTATCTGATTATTAATTGTTTTATTGCATCATATCTATTTTATGCTGTTTTAGTATTTGTGAGATGTCCAGAGAACCTTTAGATTATGGGGCAGCATAGAAATGGAATGAAATAAACAATTAATAAATAATAATGCAAGGATTTTATAAATATCATTAAATAAATCCATAAATACTATATTGGAACCACTTAGTTTTGAGATAGTGGCTCTTAGCTGGAAAATGTGTTTGCATATGCATATTATTTTGCTGTATAAACATTGAGTGATCAGATTTCATCAAAAATAGTGCCATCTAATAAAAGCACCCTAAGCATATAACCTGCTTCCAAACAAAGGGGGTTTTTAGTGTACAATTACCTGGTCTCAGAGTTTTAAGAGGGTGCAGGTTCTAACACCTCCCGTGTTTTTTCCATGTCTTCTTCGATCTTGTATCTTACCACAAAAAATCAGTTAAGGAAGAGATGATGGAGCTGACATGATGCCTTTTGTTCAGAAGTGTTTTTCAGGGAGCCCTTAGAATGCATGCCAGTGGATGGCTTAGCCAACGCATTACCGTCTATTCAAAATCAAAAGATTAAAAATCTGGATTCTACTTATTATAACTTGGTGGGGGCATCTTCTTCTTCATAAATGGAAGTATGGGTTTCACCCTTCATAACCAATAGCTGTGCACATCATTAGCTGACTCTTTGACATACAACATGGCATTGTATTGGCAGGTTAGAATAGTTGTCCTGCTAGAACTAGCCTAGTAGCATTTCAGGCTCCCCAGGACTTTTTTTTTAAATGGCAATACCAGGAACTGAACCTGGCTTCTTTTGTATCCAAACCATGTGACCTACCAATAATAAATAAATAAATTCTGCAGCTCATCCTAAATAAGGGGCCAAAGTAAGGTGCATTACTTTGTTCATTTTGTAGGTGTGACCCGAATCAACCAAGATGCCCAGGGGACAGCATTACTTTGATGACAACTTTGGTCAAGGGAAAGGATACACCTCTCTTTCCGCAGAAGAGTAAGCAGAGAATCACATTCCAGTTCAAACATATTTTTACTTGTGAAAGAAACAGCAGAAGTGATTTTGCCTGCCTTCTCCATGGTTCATGCAGTAGCCCTGGGGAACAGCAGAGCTGATATCTGAATGACACATTCTCAATGGGGTGGTGTAGAGTGAGGGAAACTTACAACTATTATACAAAACATACAAATATTGCTGAAATAAGAAGGTGCCAGATCCCCTTTGGATATGTTTCAGATTGACTGTTCAGGGTTCAGGAAAGTCTATGGCTGTAATCTCATGTAGGGACTGCAGGTGGCACAGTGGTTTAAACCGCTTCGCTGCTGGGCTGGCTGATCGAAAGGTTGCTGGTCCGAATCTGCACAACGGGGTGACAGCGTTCCGTGCACTTCGGAGTTTAGTCATGCCAGCCACATGACCACGGAGACTGTCTGCAGACAAACGCTGGCTCCCTCGGCTAGGAAATGGAGATGAGCACCACCCCCTAGAGTCAGGCATGACTGGACTTAATGTCAAGGAGAAACCTTTACCTTTTTATTCTCATGTAACACTAACCCGTGGTTTGTGCCCAACTCAGGATTTGTCTGGCAGGTGATCAGACAAACTGCAGCTTACTTTCTCAATCTCTGGGCTGATTGTTTCCTTCTTCCTTCCCCTGTTCCTTCTCCACACCATAAATGCTTCTGTGGTGCTACACACTACTGGAAGATAAAGTGGCTTCTTTGTTTGTCTTTGCCGCTCTGACCCATGGCCTGGTGAAGCAGCTCATGCATAGTTCTAGTTCCATATGGAACAATAATCCATATTTCATGAAGCAAAAACAAACTATGGGTTCTCTTTTTGGATTGTTTGTAATCGAGAAACAAGTATTTATTTGTGCATCTGTGTTTGCACAACACTGCTCAGAATTCAGATGCCCTTACCATGGGCTAACATAATCATCATTATCACATTACATTATCATGTTACATTATTCACTGCGGTCAATCAGACATACAAATAAAATTGCATAAAATGACTCCTTCTTGGTGCAAATCCCATCACAGTTGGGATATTAAACAAACAAACGTATCTTCTCAAAGTATTTTTATAGGACAGGCTAGATAGATTCCATCACTGTTAGTATGATTGTCACAGGCATTATAAATAGCAGTCTGCCCTAATTTGGTATCCTCCAGCTGTTTGGGAGAAAAACTGAAAGATCCCTATCATTAGGCATCCTGGATAGCACTGATAGGAACTGAAGTCCCAAACATTTGGAGGGTACCAGGTTGAGGAAGCCTGGGCTGTGCCATTGTGGGCATCACTTAAAAGTCACTTTTCGGGCAACTTTTTCAGTATCAATTTCTGGAACGCAGACCCCAAAGGGGATGATTGGTGCTGCTCCTGTGATATTTTCAGACCCAAGTCAAAACATTTTTATTTTCCCTGATATTCTAGAGTCAGTCTGTTTGACATTTAATATGTTAAGGTCTATTAATTGTTTGATGTTCTTTTATTGTTTTCTCCTGTAATCTGTTTTGTGTGGCTAGTTTCGGTCATGTTCTTGTGCACTGACCTGGTGTCTACAAGGAAGAATGATGGGTTTGAAACATTTCAAGAAGCAAATAAAACTCATGGAAAGAGTTTGTTAAAAATATTTAATTTTCAGCTATCAGTTGTATTGCAGATGGAATGTGTATGCCTATCTGCAAATCACCCACAAAGTTCTGGATTTGGACTACCTTGTTGGGTTTACTAATCTTGTGGAGCGCAAAAGCAAGGGTGGTTCTCAAACAAACCAACCTGACAACCTGTGGGTTCCTCTAGGGGTTATGGTACCTGCAATGAGTTGTCATGTTATCCAGACCCATCCAGATCTATACCCCCATCTATACACCCATTTTCATGTCCCAAATCCCTTTAAAGGAGGTGGGATATGGTTGTACTCTTCTGAGTAGTTAGGATCCCAGAAAAAAAGTGCCAAATCTGTATTGCCCTGAGAAAGAGAAAAAAAAGGGGTATATAAATCTCACCATCCTCTTTTTGCAAGTGAAGATTGCTTATGCCTTTGCTTTCCTTTGACAGTTTTCCATTTGACAGCTGTCAAAAGCAAAAGAAAGGCAAGTCCTATTGGGATCCTGGGTTAGGACAATGTCCATGGTTGGTACTTCCATAGCAGGTACCTCTCATAATGTTGATCCAGATGAGGCTTCAATGTTTCACACACATCAACTGTGCAAGTATGGCTAAATTTAGGAAAAAATAGAATGAACGTATTTGTTCACATTGTGAGTTCTAAAAAAGAAAAAAAGTGGTTTGTCAGCTTCTTACAACCTTTCCAATCTGCTGTTTGGGCACATTAAGAGACTGCTAGTGGCTGTCAAAATCGGAATCACAAAATTTGACTGTCTGGCTGGTTTTCATGATTTAAAAGAAGGAGAGTTAAAGACCAAAAAAGCTGCTCTAAGCCAAAAATGGCTCACGAGTCAGTTTCCCTACAGAGAGATACCTGTAGGAATATCTGGGATACCTGCAGGTGGACTGAAGAGAAGGAGAGAGTGTGGGCAAACAAGTCACAGTGAGCCTGATCATCCGTCAGGCACAGTGTGAGTTGTTCACAGCTTATTGCCAGGTTGGGTTGGCAATGACATATGAACGCCAGTTTGCATGTCATATTAAGCCACGATGGGTTAATTAACCAAACCCCTGGGCAGTTTAAGGGTTGTGGGAGATTTGTGAACCACACCAACACATGCCCATTGCTGGGTGTGCATGTCACGTTAAGTGATAGTTGCTAGTTAAATATGCGAAAGTTGCCCAGCGCTGTCACGCACCAGAACCCACATGGCTTCAGGAAGCCGCAGAGGGCTGTACAATTATGCAGATCAAGTCAGTGTGTCAGTTTCATTATAAGGAGGATATTATCATACCCATCAACATTCCTGTTATAAATGGAAATTGCATGCAATGTGCCAGTGGTAATCAAAGTCCCATCTCTATACCCTTGTTTCCTGGATGTATGATAAATTTTGTCCTAAATATGCAGAATTCCCCTGAACTGATTGAACATGATTACTGCAGCCCCCTGCATCAGCAACCACTCTTGCTTACATCTTTTTTCTATTTCAAAACAGCTCTTTATATCGAACTTGGTCAAGTTGTCATTTCTTTCCTTATTGCTTTGTGTTCCTTGAACTTGTGAATAGACTAATTTTTCTTTTTCAAAGGGCTGCAGGAATTGGAATTCTTGTTGTGGTTCTTGCAGCTTTACTGATCATTGGCTGTTGGTATTACACAAGACGCAGTGGTTATACAAGCCTTCTGGTAAGGACAAATGGACTCCCTGCTACACTGTTTGGGATAACTTGTATTACTCCATTAGAGCCCAAGGATCTGGATGACGCTTAATTGCTTGAAAAAAATGTGGAGGCTCAGCTCTACCTGGAATCCCCCCTCTCTGATCCTGACCCTTGCCCTTAATCCCGGATGTGCAAGGACATTCTTCACTTGATCAGTGGTGAGGCAAATACACTCTGCAGATTCTCAGAGGCACCTTTGCATGTGCTTCCTTCACATGAACCAGGGTTAAACCTGGACATAGGAAGCAGGTGCTGGGGCTGAAGACTAGCACAAATTCAGCCCCTGGACTGAGTGAGGCTGGACAATGCATTTTGCTTGAAGTATTTTGCCTGAAGAAGTACACCACCAAAAACAGCTTATTTATTTGTACATTTGTAATCTGCCTTACTTCTGTTGTGGACCTCAAGGTGGTTTTCAGGTGCCTCCCCTATGCAGACACCTGTCAGTCCCAAGGGTGTTTCTCCCCAGCTGGTGGCTTTGCAGTGTCACATGACAGAGCAATGGAAAACCCGTCTGTGCTCACATGACAAGCATGAATGTTAATTCAGAAACAGACACTGAGGAAAAGGAACATCTAATGAACATCCTAGCTTATGTCATTTTTATATTGGTATTATAGATGGATCCGTGTAAAACCACTGCCTGGCTTATCTCTCATTTCCAGTTTTTTAAGACCTATCCCCATTTTTCTTGGGATCTTTTGCCCACTTTGCAGAGTAAGAATTTTAGAGTGGCTGGCATGAAGACCTTCGAAGACAAGAGTGCCTTACTGGGCTCCAAAGTGCCCCTGCAGGAGTACAGCACCAATGGTGGCTACATGGTAAAATGATTGCTTTTATTTATTTTGAGTAAAACTTTCCAATTAGGCAGAGAGTACAGTCTTGGTGGAGAATCCATACCGCATTTTTAGAGTTGTGGGAGTCACTTTACAGTTAAGGTGCATGGCCTGTTCCATGATCAAGCTGAAACTTAGATCCATTATTAAATCAAGTCAATTTGTTCTACTTGTAGGAAATTGGGAACACAAAATTCCAGAAAACTCTCATACTAGTTGAGTTATACTATTTCTAAAAGTTTGCACTGAAGGACAGGCATTTATTGAATGTATAGGATATTTAGTTCTTGGGTAGTTCAGAAAATGTCAAAAATTCAAAGGGATATTATAAGAATGTGCCTTTTGAATTGGTGAAAATCAGTTCAGTATTTCCAAAGTTGTGAGATTTCAAGGTTCCTGTCATGCCCTTAAGAGGTACAGAGTGAAAAGCATTATGGACCTTTGCAAATCTATAATTTCATATATTTAATGTAAGTTTACAGATTTCAGAACACAGCTCTGCTGCTAAAACAATTAGTGTAACAAAATCCAAGTTTCTGCATGTTCCATTTTTGACCTCTTTCATCTGGCTTTCATCTTCTTCACTCCACTGTGCTTACCCTACTAAATATTTCTGTAGTAATCAACTACTATATATATGATGGAAAGTAAGGACTCCACATTGAAATCATAAATGTTGATGATGCTGAGGGGCTTCTCCTTTAGATACAGGAAGAATTAGGTCTATTCTTGACATCTTCACTTAAAGAGGAGTTTTGTCTTCCTGTTATTTCTGCTTGGATAACCCAGCGGTGTCTTAAAGGAAACTTGGATAAGCCCAAATTTATGTTCCACTCCCCCAATTCTTTTCATATTCATTGTTTTCTCTGAGAAATTATCTATTTAATTACTCCCTGTGTTCTACATCTTTTTTCTATGAAAACCCCAACATAATGATGAAATAGTAAGAAGGACCCCTAAAAATGAACAGAACTTCAGATTTGATAAACACCATTTTAAATAATGAAAGTTATACTTTTCACACCCCATTGTAATGGTGACATATAAAGCAGAATATACAAAATTACTCCTGCTAGTTCTAATGTGACTTATGTCTAAGAGAAAGTATTCTTAGGGCCACAACATGTCTTTGATTTCTTACTAAACTTGCCTATGTAGCATTGTGCTATGAAGTGTTCCTTCACCACAATTACATGGATACAGCATGATCAAACAGGCCACTTTTAAGAATTAAAAGTGGCCCAAGTTTTGGATTAGTGAAGAAAAGAACATGACTGCCAGTTCCAAGGTCTTGAGGTGGAACAATGAACTGAGTAACACTGCTCATTTCATTATTGTTACTTTAAATTTATTGCCATTCACTGATGATAATTATTATTTATTTTATTTCTATACCACTCAGAGCCAAAACTCTCTGGGCAGTTTACAGCAATAATTCCTCCAATACGCTCCTTAGGCACTCTGAAAGGATCATCAGTGGCTTTCCAAACAGGAATTGTGAAAGCTGGCTCTCCAGCCAAATGGAGACATGTCTGCCAGGCACTATGGGTTGTTCACAGAACAACCAATTCACTGTGGCTTATTGCCAGAGCTGGTTGGCATGACATGCAAATATCCCCACCCACTTTGTCCTCTCAGATTTCTTGTAAGGCCAGACAGGGCTCCTCTCTTTTTAGCATCACGAACATTTACCTTTCTCTGTTGCCTAATATAATATTCTGTACACTGGCTGCCTTCTCCACCATATGCTTTTAATTTCTGGTTTGTGTTCTGTCTCTTTTATTATTTAGTTTGTTCTTCACTTTAATCATGTTTTCCCTCTTGCAACATCTCACTGTCTGTGAATTCTTTTTCAGAATCATTTAACTTACTTATTTGATGAGAATCTTAGCTTTCTTGGTAATTTCATGCCCGTGGAAGTCCTTGACTTGAAACGTTTTACAAACTAATATTAATAATCAGTAATGTTCCTTTTGAGGCATAGTTATCATTCATGCTACAGGTTATTAGCACCAAACACTAGCTTTGATACACAGAAAATGCTTATGGCTTGACTCCAACACTCTGCAAGTTGGCTTCTGCTCACACAAGGGGTCTTCTCCTTGCAGCCACCTGCAAGCTTCCTGTCTAGATTTTTGGGGCATGGGTGACTACAAGAAAGAAGAAAAGTCTGTGTGGAATGCATGTGTGCATGACCACGCTTACAGATCAGCTCTTTCTTAACGCACAGGCATCTAATATAAAACCAAAAATACTGTTTCAACTTAAATAAGTGATTGCTTATTCTTAATGCATATATTTTTGATTAGGAAAAAGATGGGAAATCCTTTCAGGCTCAATTATTTACTAGCATAGGAAATTATAATGTATCCTAAAATTTCTGTGTTTGTGATTAACTCTTCCCTGTGCTTCATCAACACAGGTGCCTGATGCTCCACCAGCCTATGACAAAGTCTCCGCAAGCTCATTGCCTCCACCGTATGTGCCATGAAGCAAGAAAAAAATTAAATGGAGTGCTTGCTTAATTACATGTACTAGCTTTAATTTCTAGCAGTACCTGAAGGAAAAAATGCATGCTATTATGAATAGTTCCAGAGGCCATAGCTGTTTAAAAATATTCAGCAGTTCCCTGTTGCTTGAGTTGCCCAAGATGCTACAGCCTTTTATTTCCTTGCCTGGAGTCACCATCATAATGTGCCATTGAGATTTTTACTTCTGGAGACCTACGAAGCCTAATAAACATTGAAGCGCAACCACCAGACTTATTGAAATACGTGAGATTTTGCGAACACCACCACATAGGGTGTAGTAAACTTTTTGACATTTTACTAAAAATACAATGGTATTGTCTGTTGAAGATCTGTCTGTCTGCAAGTAGCAAGCCTAGAAATGCAGCTCATTAAACTTTTGTGCTTTTGCTCAGCTCTGATGGAAATAGTCATCCTACCTGAAAATTTGCTCATATCTTGCTCAGTATCTGTCGAGTGTGTTGACTGTTATTTCAAGCCTACTAGTGGTTATTCAGTAAGGGGTGTGGGAAGCGTCTTTCCCCTACATTTTGACTTCAGTCCATTGCTTTCTAATTACTTTCCCCCCTCCCACGCTGGGCTTTTTGTGAAGAAAGTACAGCTGGGGAAGAGTAGCTTCAGGGAGAAAAGCCAGGGTGGGAAGAAATAAAATTATTTATTAATATCCTGCTCTTCTGCAATCACAGTGTGATTAAAACAATTGATCACATTAAAAACAAATAAACCACAGGATAGATTGTTATATTAATTCGTTTTATATTTTTAGTGTATTATATTTTAATTGAAGTTTTGTGAGCCGCCCCGAGGCTTCGGCGAATGGGGTGGCATAGAAATTTTCTAAATAAATAAAATAAATAAATAAATAAATAAATAAATAGAACAAGCAACTAAAAAACTGAGGTAGCAGAAAATTAATCAGATGTTAACCAGTAGTGTTTCAGTTTTTGTTAACTTTGAAAATGTGCCAAACACAACTTAGTTGGAAGCACGTGCTGCTCTTGAAATCGATTTCTGTAACTCAGTTGTTCTGACTTTCTCAGATTTGACAATGACTGGATTCTGTCTGGGATCTGAGATTGTCACCTCTAGTTTCACCCTGACCTAATAGCATTGCGCAAGTACATTTCAGTCACCTGTATGGTCCTGTTCTACATGTGATGAGTACAAAGAGGCAGGGAAGGGCAAACTGGGAACATCAAGCAGCCAGTCATCAGAATCCAGTCATCCCCATCCCATTGTTTTATCAGTATTGGCCCAGCAGACCATGAAATCTGTCAGGGGGAATAGATTATGCTAGCACACATGCCTGGCAAGTCCAACTTGAAGTATGACTCTCTACCTCTCTAACTAGGAGTAGCTCCACTGAATTCAACAGGACTTACCTCTGAATAGACTAGTAAATCGTTCCATCAGTTGATTTGACTGCTAGCCTTACTAGAATGTGGAAGATCCTTGCTAACTTATTTAATTGAAAGTTGCCATGGAGAAGTTGGATTGGAGCTATGACACACTGGGGAAGGTTTAAATTCTTCTGATTTAAATCACCCTAAAAATCCATTGGGGATTAAATCAGGGATACTGTTGAGGGAGGAAGGGTAAACTGACCTCCCCCAGTACTGCAGTTCCAACTCAATATAGCCCTGTCATGCCTGCTTTTAAGGAAAGGACATCATAAGATCTGGTTACAAATCTTCTATTTCATGCCTTATTTGGGATCAATTTGTAATACCACAGTATGTTCAGGTTGGGCACAGCTTTATCCCATACCATTGTTTCATAATCTTCAACGTAAGTACCACGCTCGATGCGATGCAAGCACTGGCATAATGTATGTACTTGTTGCAGGGCTGGACATCCCTCTCTCCAAATTGACAAGGAAACTCACTCTGCACACAAAAGAAACTCAATTTATTAATCCTTATTTTGATTTGATGTTTGCGGTTGTGAAACATACTGAAGATGGTTATGAGAAGAATCAGACACAAGAGGAGTTTTCAAAGAAGTCTTGACCAACTGAAGAATTGGATTAAAACATGAGCATGATTGCATTTTGAAGTGCACTATAAAGTTTTGCTGGTACAGCACTTTGTAGCTATCAGGCTGCCTCTGAACAACCTTCATCCATTTTTTGTTGCTGCTGTTTAAGAAAAGATAAGAAGTAAAATGTAGCTCAGCAGACATCATCAGATAGAAAACATTAATCAATCAAGTCACATATATGATATTAATATTGGTGTTACTGAGATGAATTACAGAGGTCAGAGTGGGAAACTTGTAGGGTGGTCACTTGTAGCCCAAAATTACCATTCTCCTTCAACATTGGCTACACTGAAAAGGGCTGATGCAAGTTGTAGATCACAACATATGGAGTATCATGAACTGTCCACTACATTGAATGATTGTATATGCATCCTATTACAGTGATAACAAATATTATCTAGGAAGAAATAATACATAGGCTGAAGTGGAACAAGAGATAATGACTTGATTTGAATAATACGGCACAGCTCATCATGGATTATTTAGCTCACAATGAGATGCTGTATCTGTGGGTACCAAGTAGTATATGCAACACCCACTTGGGGGTTATGTTGTGTAAATCCAGTGAGCATGAGTCACTCAAGAGTTAAACAATCCTCACATAACTCTAGAACAGGCTGAATTGCTTAGCTTGTGCTTGCTGGTTCATACAACACAACCACATACAACAGTGGGTGCATATGAAGCCTAAATATTAAATTATTCTCAGTGGGTTGTTTTGTCAGGCAAACAACCCCTATTTTAACCTCCAGCTTTTAAGCAGTGCCAATTGATTGCCTCAGGAGTTGCCACACTTCTTCAAGACTGGGTAATAGTGGACTTTATTCACCTGTATCATCGTGTGACCAAATCCAATAGCTTGCATGGCACAAGGAAGTCATCATGTACACTATAATGCCCAGGTTGGCATGAGGGGGGGGGCACCAGCAAAAGCATAAAAGCAGCACCAGATAGGGGACCATATAAATCAATGTGAAACACCCCCCTCCAATAGTGTAACACTAGCTAACATATCTTTGGTTAGGGACACCCATCTCTGTGGTAACTGCAGCGTACGTGTGGGAGTTTAATTTCCACATGTGCAGGAAGGCAAAGATGTCTCTGATATCTCTGTAGTGTCATTCTAACAACCTACTTTCCTACTATTGAGGATGTGCTAAAGTTCAAGGCAAAAGAGGAGACACTTCTTCTTCAAAGCCAGAGACTGAACACATTAAGGACAAGTAGAATCTGATGTAAATATAACAGACTCTCTTAGGCTTCAGTTCATGCCCACCTCTGAGTACAGGCTCTACATTTCAGTTCTCTATCTATAAGCAGAATGTTTAAGTGCCTATAATATACTGCTATTTAATTTATATCCCATCTTTCTACCAAAAAAGTGCTTATGGCAGCTGTTCAGAGCCCGACACTATATAATCCCAAACATTCTCTTTAATAATACTCAACAACAATCTGGTAGTCACTGATCACAACATGAGTAAGTCTCCCACCACTAACCAAAAAGGGAATTCTTGGCTATAACTCATTGCCTAGCATAGTGTCTCAGGTAAAAAGAAAACCAGCTAGAGAAAAATCTATTTAGGACAATTTTGTTGACATTTCTGCTTAACCTTTGCTAGAGACAGTCTACTCTTGCAAATATACTAAGTCCAAATTTTAAAATTAAATGAAATATATATGAGCATTAAGCACATTTCTACTTTTCCTAAATTGTTTAAGACTTGCATTTATTGACTCAGATACACAGCTTTAAAGAGCCACAAGTCACAAGCAACTCATGAAGAGAAAGGTTCTTAGTTACCTCACTTCCTTACATTCATTCTTGAATTCAGGCACATTTCCTTCATTCTAAAATGGCTGTCAGACAGTCCAAGTATTTTACTTATCTTCCCTCATGTTACCAAGTGAAGCCCTTCATCAAAGACTTTGACTATTGTGACTTAGAAATAGCATTTTGAACAGTCTCTCTAATTTTTCTACCCTGCAACTATTGTAGTCCATCCTTTCTTATTACTGTATTTGCTAGAAAGCCTCTAAGTCCCAGTGTTTGGGTTTCTCTACCTTTGTACCAAAGACGTAACAATGAAAAGGTCTTGTAATTTGTCCAAAATTACTAAAATACTTGTGCACTATTTTGCCTCCCAAAATGAACAGATTTCAGTAAACATTTTCAAAATATGAAAGTGATTCTTTTCATACCCTGTATAATGTACCAAGTCCTGATAATTACAATTTTATAAACTTGAAGACAGGGTTAGAAATTATTTAGAGAAAAGCTGTAAGAAAAAAATGGAATGGTGGAAAGTCAAAACCATAGCCATGAAAATCCCGCTAGGCTAAGTGTGCTAAGGCTAAGTGTGCTTAGGCCCACAGCATTTGTGTAAACCCCAATATCTTTAATTTCTTAATGCACATACATACATAACCTTGTGCTATCAAGTATCCCTTTTACACAATGACATTGATACAGTATTATCAAGCAGAAATACAGCAACTTTGTTTATTATTACATGCAGATTCTTCTGCATTATTGCTAAACAGTACACTTGTCCAAAATTACTAAAATACTTAAAAAACTATACATTATGTAAACAAAACATAAATAAGACAGAGTAGTTCTTTTTACACAGATTTTAGTACATACTGTTAGGGAATCAGGGATATGTACAATTTTACACCATAGACTGCATTTTAAATGCATAAATATGCTTTTTATTAAAAAAAATTAAGTAAATTTTCCCCAAAGTGTACTACACTATTTATAAACAAGATGGGAAAGTTTCTAAATTGTGAGGAAAAAAACATATCCCTGTAAATGTACTAGTCAAGAGTCAAACATTGCTTCCTACAACATATCTTAACAGATGGACATTTTCCACCTCTTCAATTAAAAAAACCCTTAGAAAGCACAGGTCTTTAAAGTATTTAAAGAGGTGTTTACTCCCCACTTAGGAAAAAAAATTGAAAGTAGCTACAATGCTATGAAGTTTTCTGTAGAAAATCAGCTACAGCCTTATGCACATAAACCCTTGGGCACATGGTAGGTATTTTAAAATTGAGCGCGTATCAGTCCCCAGTTAATGGAAAACTGGGTAGCTGATATGTGCAACATGTGCAGAATGCTGAAACCATTCAACCCATGAGTTTCCAGTGGCACGTAAAAGAGTCCAGTTCTCTACCTGGCAGTTTTTATCTGTTCAAGAGTGGTCATTACATGCCTTGGGTTCATGCACATCAGCCCCATGTATGGTATATTTCAAAAAACAGCATAAGAATTTCTAACAATTATAAATTAATGTCGTACTCAAAAGAATGCCCAACAGTTTAACGGCTCATTTACTTTAAGTTCAAGATGCAGCTGTGTCAGGTACACCTATGCTGGACTTCAGAAAATTTGGGAAGACAACAGCAGGATTTCTGGTTGTAGAAACTATGTCAGGAGTGAAGGAGGTTGACTGAGAGGAAGTTTTAGATGTTGGAGTCTTTATAGCATTCAAAATGGCTCCTTCTGGGCTGACCATAAGTTTTTTGATAGATGTATCCAGATGCAATACAGAGCTACTGCTTTGTAGCTGCGAATTACCAGTCTGAGTAGCATGAACTGTTGTTTTAGCTACAGTAGTAGATGGGGTGCTTGTTACCAGGGATGTAGGCAGTGTTGTTGCAAATGACGGAGTACCTGGTTTTGTAGCAGTGTTTACCATCTGTGGTGTTGCATGGACGATAGGCAGGGCGTTTGCAGTCCCCAGAGAGTTCACAATTTTGGTAGAGCTTTTCAAAGGCTGTTTTGATGGTTGCCAACTTGATGTATTACTTGACACTTGTGTAGTCTTCTGAGCAGTGGAAGCAGCATGGGGCCCACCTTGAAATCCATGGCCATTGCTAACAGCTAAAAGAGGCCCAAGTTTTGGATTTGTAGAGATAAGAAGAACATGACTGCCAGCTCCAAGGCCCTGAGGTGGAACAATGAACCGAGTACCACTGATCATTATCTGAGTTCCAGGTGCCAAAGGGGTACACGTGTTAATAATTATTTTCTGTTGGATACAGGATTCATTCAACTGTCCTCCCAAATTGTTAACAATGGATGGTGAAGCTGGAACAGTTTGAGTGGTAGAGGCACCAGGGGCACAACTGAAAGCAGGAATTGGCTTTACAAAATTAGGAGGCAATAGTTGAGAAGGTAGGGGAAATAAATTATTAAAACTGATTACTTTACTTGTATTTGGTGCATTAGGAGGCAATACAGTTTGTGGTTTCTGAGTACTTCCATTGGTTGGCACTGCCGATGAAATTCCTGGTGGTTGAAATTGGACTAATGGGGACTGTTGACCTTTTGAAAGGGGCATACACTGTGCAGCAGGTGAGGCTGCTGGCAGTTGAGGGACTGTGTGTATCATTTTGGGGGCACCATTCACTGCTCCAGGCAAGGCAACTGTAACTGGTAACTGAAAAGCAGATGATAAACTTGGTTGGGTAGCTGAAATCAGTACAGATGAAGCAAGGTGCCCTGTTTTCACAGTTGATATAGCCATCGTACTTCCAACATTAGAGGTACGCATTTGAGGAGTTAAAACTGGTGTAACTTTTGTCAAAGTATCTACTCCACCATCCAAAACAGTAGGCCGTGTTCCAGTAGTAGCTCCACTCAATGCCACAGAAGCAGAATCTAAACATGAATTAGTTGTTACTGTAGGTATATTCAATACACTTGCTGAATCAGTCAGAGACTCTCTGACAGGTGTAATACTCTGACATGGAGGATCAGGGCATACAGGAACCAAACCACTGCTTGTTGAAAATGGCAAGATAACACCCTGGCTATTTTTCTCTTCTGCACCTTTTGGAGCAGTAGACTGCATAACGTGAATTGGTGGAACACTCTGAGCATTACCTGTGCTATTTATAATGGCCTGACCAATGTTAAGTCCAATTTTCACATCTTTTATCTGTGAAACTGTTGGTGCTGCATTTACTTTTATTGATGTTCCCACAGTAGATGGAATCAAAACTAACTGAGGCTGCTCTGTGCTTTTAACATATGTTTTGCCCAGGGAAGGAGGGAAGGTCGGTTTAAATGATTCTGCAGTTAAACTGGCATTTGGATGAATATTGGCAAGTGGAGTATTAATAAAAACCAGTTTCTGTGCTGTAATGCCAGTGGATGTTGGCGCAGGGATTAGACTGACTCCTGCAGTTCCACAAGCGGGAAGAAGGGGGGGATTTGTGACCAACATAAGTTTCTGAATTTGAGCCCCACTCATCATATTTCCATTAGTTATGGGCGTAACCTCAGGCTGTGTAACAGGATATTTTGTATTATTCACACTGACTTGATTAATAAAAGGAGCCTGGGTAGTACATGTGGCATTCTGCCCAATATTTCCTGGAGAAATGCTAACTGCATTAACTGAGCTGTTTGGTGGTGCTGGAATGACAACATTAGACGACATGGGAGACAAAAAGGTCGGGGAAGACGCGTGTACAGTTTTTTGCATTCCATGACATACAGAGCCACTGTTATGAGGCTGCCCAAATGTAAGCATCATGTTTTTCCCCATTACCTGGTTTACAGAAGCAGGAACAGTTGGAATGGAAGCTGAAGTTGTTGGAGAAGATTGGACAGCTGTTGGAAAACTGGGTATGGCAGTTGTTACAGTCTGAAAGGTAGAGGTTGACAACTGTGTGGCTTTTGGCACAAAAAAGGCCTGAAGCTGAGGTGCATATGTGAAAACAGAACTTGGAGATAAGTTATTTGGGGAAATCTGCTCAGAATTTGTCTGCACCTTAACAATACCTGTGTTCCCACCTCGTGTTCTAACAAGGATGGATTGTGAATCTCTGATACATATTGTTTTCAGTTCTTGTTTAGCTTCACCATCGTCAGCGCTTTTTGGAGGGGATGCCAGTCTTGGGGAGGCACCGCTGGTGCAAGCAGAAACACTTGGTGGTAGAGTTGTTGTCAATGCCTGAACTGCTGAGGAAACAGTGGGTGAAGCAACAGGGGATGAGGCAGCTGAAATTATAGTCTTGGTTTTAGTAGTCTCACTTTGGCTCATTTTCACCACTGATGCTAATACATTACTGGTGGAGGTTATAGAGGGCAATGTTGAAAATCGGCTCACAGCATTAGCTCCTTGTGGCAAATGGGTAGTATTCTTTTTAAAATGTGTGGGCAGAAAGGCAGCAGCAGCAGCATTTACAGAAGATGTTGGAAGGACAGATGCTAAAGTAGTGTTGACAGCTGTTGGCTGTGGAAGAGTGAGACAGGACTGCTCAGTAGTCTTTTGCTGCAATGGCTGGATTTCTTTTGCCCCACTTTTAGTTTCTTTGTGATGGATAAGAAAATTTTTAGGCAAAATAAGGACTTGCTGCATGATTTTCTCTCCTGTGGTTTTTTCTCCTGGTTTACAGTCAACCACAGGCTGCATCTGAATCTTCATTGAATTGCTTTGCAAGTCTACTGGCATACAGTGGCCACCAGGCATCTTGTACAGCACCTGTAATGGACTCTTTGAACTGGTCTGGCAGGGCAACACTGGTTTAACCGGGGAAGAACTCATGGTAGACACAATCAGTTTTTCAGAAGTAGAAATGCTTCTACCTGCAGTGGGTGTCAGCTGACTTGTTAAGGTCACTTTGTTCCCAATATTCTTAGCAAGCAAGGCTTGTATAGGCTTGGTCCCTTTTATTAAGTTCGATATTGATGCTGTAGAGTCTGTCATATCCAATGATTCTAAAGATGAGGATTCGATTTGCTGATTTAAACAAGTATCGATTGACAGATCGTTGTCTATACCATGAACTGTGGTATCAGTTGTGCTTAATTTGAACCTTTTCCTTGGTAAAAACTCATTTGTGCTCTCATCTAGGTAACAGTTTTGCTTGGACTGGCGTTTAAAAGATTTAGGCACTGCCTTTTGTATTTCTCGGTAAGTCAGGTCTTTTTTTAGTGGCTTGGATTTTCCTGCAGCAAGATCCATCTCTGATGGTTTCAAGTTTTCTGCAGAGGAAAAAAAAGCAAAGAAATAGTGTTTTAAAAAGCAAAAATCAAACTTTTAATCAATTTACTAGTGCTTTGAAATAACAAAAAGCTTACACTGCCATACCACCCAATAAACAAGAGGTTTCAAAATACTAGCAATGATTTAATCCTAACAGATGCTAATTACATAGGTTCTATAAACAGTAACTTAATCTATATCCAGTTTAATTTAACTTCATTAAGAATCAAAATTATAGGTTTGCCAAGGCGTGAAGTCAATGCATATGGACATTTGTCAGAAAAAGTTTCTACAGTACAAATTACATCCATATATGCCCAGCCGCCCCTTGAGATCGGCGGGAGAGGCCCTTCTCCGGGAGCCCTCCGTGAAAGAAATTAGGAGGGTGGCTACTCGGAGGAGGGCTTTCTCAGCGGTGGCGCCTAAGTTATGGAATGTGCTCCCCAGAGAGGTCCGCCTGGCGCCGTCGTTATTTGTTTTTCGGCACCAGGCGAAGACCTTTTTATTTAAGCGGCATTTTAACTGTTAATATTATTGGATTTTATCTGGCCAGGGTGGCTTATTTTATATTGTATTTTTGTATTTTTAACCTAATGTTTATATTTTTTTAATTTAAGATTATAATTATTTTAATTTATTGTTGTAAGCCGCCCCGAGGCTTCGGCGAATGGGGTGGCATAAAAATGTTTTAATAAATAAATAAATTACTTTAGTCGGTGAATCTTTTAAGTAACTAGAGTAGTAATGTACAAACGAGAAGGCCAACCTTTTGCAAGTGTTCCAAACACATCCTTATAAAACACTGGAATGTTCTCACAACGCACCTACCTCCCAACTGCTGCTGGGACTACTTTCTCCTTACCTCTAAATCCAAGAGTTGGAGGAGGAGGCAGCAGGTGTTGGCTAAGCTTATTTTTTTTCTAAAGGGCCTGGAATTTCCCTTGCCCAGAGAGAAAGGAATAGCACCTTTAAGAGGACTGAGCAGGCTGTGTTCACCTTAAAATCCTGCTCAGTTCTTCACAATATCCCTGAACCAGAGTAACTATATACTTTTTTTTGCTTTTATAAAAAGGGAAATAAGTTTAATGTTGGTAAAAAGTCTAGTTTCCCAAATATGAACTGCTTTAATATATCTAGGCATTCACAATAACTAGTGAAAACACCTACCTGCATCTGTATAATCACTTCTCAGAGACTTGGTATGCTCTGAAGACTCACTGGTTAATGCAATGGAAATGTCTTTGCAAGCATTCACTTCACTATCCTCATTAGTCCACTGTTCTCTAGTAAATTTATCATGATCTGGCTGCCTTTTGAAGTCATCATAGTCCTTTTTTAATCGAGACCTTCAAAGAACATCAGAGGTAAGCATTAATATCCACAATTCTGAATAATTCTTACTAGGAAAATAAGAGATCTGGCTACACATTTACACATTTCCTGTGTAAAGTTGGAGACAAGGTTTTTGTCAAAAGATCCAGCTAATTACCTGTTTCTTTGAAAAGCCTTCATTAGTTTTGGTTCCCATGGTAACAATTCATTTAGCAGTCGTATCAGAGTACAATGTAATTCCTTTACAGCTTGTTTTCGCTGATACCACCTGCCCTGTAAATATGAAAATACTGTATTTATTATAGTACATTTATCCATTATAAAGTTGGGGATTTACAGCAGGACAAAAGGAACATGAAGATGAGGGTCATCCATGTTCATAGGATATGGGTAGCCATACTGGCACTGCCAATGAAGTGTCAGTTCTAAATATCTTTAAAAAAATAATGAGAACTCCTGGAGACTTAGAATTGGTGTTTGAAAATAGTGTTTTGTGAAAATAGAGATAAGAGATCTAAATTCAAAGCAATGAAGAAAAACATGGTCTGAAGCTTAGATAAAGATTTGGAATGACAAACAGTCATATATAGCTATTGTAGGTGAATATTTAACTAGATGGAGCCTGCTTGAAGTTTATAGCATCTTGCAAACAAAAAACAGGCAGCAGCTGTTTGTAGAGATTCCAAAGTGCTTAGAAAAGAAGGATATTATGCTTGTGGACTGAAATAGAATACTTACACTGAACTCAATGGGCCCTACTTCTGAATAAACCTGCATAAAACTAGTGTGCTAATCTGTATTTTAACAGAATTCAAAAATATGAAAAATATAGAAATCAATACCTGTGATTTGCCAATCTTACGTCATATGTTATTTCTACCACTAGTTCTTGAATGGAATGAGATCCATTTTCCATTTCAGCTTCTAGTTCTTTCCCATGAAAGTGCATAACATATATTCAAGACCATTATATACAGCACAGAATTAAGATAGCAAACTAATTTGGGCAGCAATTGCACTGCAAATATATTCTTTTATTCCATACAACAAATCTATTCAATTTAAACTCTAAAGCAGCAGTTTAGTTACAGCTTCAGATTCTTTCTGAAGCTGTAACTATTTTAAAAAGTTCAGGAGGCTGCAGCAGGACAGATAAAAGGTAGATCACCAGATGTTTTGGACTTCAATTCCCATTAGTTCCTGCCAGCATAACCAATGGTCAGAAATGCTGGGAACTTGAGTCCCAAACGCCTGGAGGTCTACTTTCTGTCCACCCCTTGGCTACATGAATAGCATGCTTTGCAGCAATAAAAGGTATTTACTGTGGTGAATAATTTTTCTTCCTCTGATCACTCTAACAATATTTCCAAATTCTTCTAGTTCAAGAGGATGCTATCCTGAGCAGTTATTCTAATATTAGTTGTGTAGGATCCTGTCTCCTATCTATCTATTGATTGATTAATTGCATTTATATACCATCCCAATAGCCCAGAGGGCTCTCTGGGTGGTTTATTTACTAGTTTATTCCCCCCTATGACAGGGATAGGGAATGTGTGGCCCTCCAGATATTGTTAGGTTGCAACCTCCATCAAGTCTCACCACTGCCTATGCTGATAGAACTGATAGGTTATGTATCCCAATAATATCTGGAGAGCCACACATTCCCCAGCTTTGTCCTAAGACATCAGCAGATCCATGATAAATGATGCAGTTAACTTTTATTTCATTATAATGCCAGATGAAATAATGATTACCAGAACTAACCTTTAGGGAATCTCTGATCCCCTTAGGTTCAGAGGGAGAAGCAAAACTGTAATGTCTGTAGAGTACCAGCAGTGTGCTAGGCAGCCTGCAAAAGTTATATGGTCCCTGTCCAGAAAACTTAAAATTTAAATTTCACGAAATAGATAAAACCAGAAAGAAAGGAGAACTCAAAAGACAGAAAGGAAGGTGAGGGAACAAACTGTGCTTGTTTACAGTGCAAGTCACAAGTTTTATTTAACAAAAAAGCCCTAGATAGTAATGTATGAGAAATATGGTTTGGAAGTGGGAATCTGTTGGATTTTCTCAGTTTAGCAACCCGGATGTGACTTATGGGCTTTGCAAACATGCTGCAAATGCTGCACAAGCTGGTTTCATTGCATGCATATCCCAAACCCATTCCCCATGCACTTGTCAAACTCCTGTGATGTCTGGGGCATTACCTAGTGACCAAAAAGAAGACACCTACAGTATAAGTAAGAACTCTGTACAGTATTACATCAGTGCATACATGTACAAGCCTATGCAGATGCCAAGTGGGAGACAGGAGAGACCGACTTTGACCAAATGTCAGGTGCACAGGGGGACTGCACAAGCGCTGTGTTGGTGGGCAGTGCACACACACTGCAAGTGGCAGCAGGGAGTGCCCACGTGCATCTAGCACTGGCTGTGGTTGGTGCACATCGTGCTTGGTGGGTGGAGATTGTATATTTAGCAGGAGAATCATTCAACACAAAGAAGGGGTCTGCTAGTGTTCCTGTTCATGGACTTGACCCATTTTCTAGGTCAAATGCAGGAAAGAAGCCCGGTGAGTCCAAGAGACCTAGATTCTGGGCCAATCTTTGCATCACTAGTCATCAGAAGTAATGCTCAAACACTAATATGAAATTGCTTTTCTTCCTAAGTTAATGACTAAAAACCAGTAAAGAAAAATCATGACATTTTTAACATGCGCCATTATTAATTTAATTACTAAGAAGGTACAAGTAAAATGCCTACAATAGAGGTTTCTTACAAAACATTCTAATATGAGGGGCAACCCCACCCCCAGATGTTATCTTCTGCAGGGTGGACCCCTTGTAGTACAGGCTGCCCCTGCTAGGTGAGTGTTCTAGGAACCCATCTGCATCAGTGTATCCAGCTGGGTTGCTGTGAGAGGCTGTGCTTGGTTTCAGTGAGGGTTTTTTATTTTATTTTATTTTATTTTATTTTTGTGTGGGGGGGCACTCTTTCAATGCATTTGCCTATTTTGTGATGGCTGATTTACACAAACATGTGGTAGGGAAATTTTGTTCAGCTGAATGTTCAGCAGTTTTTGACCAACAATGGCATGACCTTTGTGTCCCACCTTCCCTATTTTTGTTTCCCCAGATGAAAGAAGTCCTCAAAGGGAAAAGCTTTGCCAATGTGGAAAAGGTGAAACAAAAAACGGCAGAAGCACTAAAAGGCATCAAAAACAACAAGTTCAAAATCTGTTTTTGAGAAGTGGAAAAAATATCTTGATAAGTATATTGCATCAAATGGAGAGTACTTTGAAGGTTTGAACATGTAAAAATAAACACATGATTTTTAATAAATAAATTCTGGATTTTCTTGCCCCCCATATGTTATTTTAAACAAAGGCAAAATAAAATTTAAACACATACCGATTTCTTTTTAATATTTTCCACATCTTTGAGTTCACTCTCAATTTTTCTAATTAATTCCCTGAGTTCATCAAGATTAGTGCAAATAAGCTGAAATAAGAAAACAAAAGATAACATTAAAATCAAGCAAAGATTAAAAAAAGGTAACTGTAGCACAATCTTATGCATGTTTTCTCAGCATTAAATACCTTATGAGGTTTGGTTCTGTATTAATTTTGTAGGATTACAGCCTCGCATACCTTTTCACATGTCTTTAATACTTGCAATATATTTACTACAATATTTGTACATTTGGAAAACATTATGCTCCCATCTACAACCCACCCACATCACTAATTCCAGCATATCTCCAAGCATTCTAAACTCAGTACAAGTCAACTGAATACGTTATGTGCTATTGCACTGAGCCAGTAAATAGATTAAAGTGATTGAGAAAAGAAAATCTTCAATTTGCTTTCTTCATTTCAATGGTGAACTTGAAAGTGTTACTTCTTGTACTTTCTTCACTTGAAAATTTGGCTGGAAATTTGAACTGCATTCAATTACTCTTAAACTGTTTCTGATTGTTGCAGAGAAACAGCTTGACCACAAACAAACAAAATTAGCACTTGAAAAGCGAATACATGAAAGACCATCAAAATGTAATGCCTTTTGCAGATCTCATAATGTTTCAGCTCCTAAGGCCTTGTCATTATCATCAGTTCCAATCAAGTCAGTTGGTCAAAGATCATGAATCTTTTATATGCCAATCTTAAACTGTTTTAACCCAGAAATCTAACTAATTTCAAGGAGACTCACTTCCAGCAAAATAATTTTAGGACTGTAGCCTTAGTTTTCCAGACTGCTGATTTTATGCACATTCTAATTTATAAGGAATACTACACAAATTATGAATAGCTTCATTTCCATCCAATTAAATTAAGGGATAAGGCACAACATTTTAAGTAACTAAGATTCCAAGTAATTCTAATTTGAAAGGTGGATGGATGGAAAGATTTTAGGTATGTGATTAATTCAAATGACTTTTTTCCAGCCAAATAGACGGATGCTCACTGAATGGTTCTCTGTAATTTCAGCATGTGACTTACATGATTTGTAAATCACATACAATGATTGCCTGAGTTTCTATTCACAAGTACCTCTGGGAGAGAGCAGGGACCTGTAAAGATTGCACAAAAATGTTTCACTAGTGGCTTCCATTCTATTCTAAATAACATAATTTGATGCATGTGCATAGTATATGAGTTATCAATAATGAAATCAGAAAGATAAAGGCACTGTGTCTATAAGAAGGGCAGAATTTAGGAACAGTATCTTTTTTTCAAAGATTATAAATTTTATTAGCAGAGGCAAGTGGATCCTGCCTCAACATACTGCTATGTGGTATACTCCTGCTCAAGCTCCCAGCCATGCATTTTACGTTAAGATCTTGTTCCATCCCCTGCCATGAGTCAGTCAGCATTCCATTCTTGCTAAGCATGCTCAGTATCCACTGGGCTCTTCTGGGGGCTACTTCCTCTTTTAGGATTGTTTCCCCTAAAAAAATTGTGTACTTCTCTTCCTTCAAGCCTGCTAATATCTCCCTCTTCTGTTGCTACTTTATAATAATGCTTCACACTCTGGGAATGAGTTTGCTATTATTTTACTTGTATGAAGTATTTTAAACTCACTTAATGAGCAATGGCAGCAATTTATAATATAACTCCACATGCATAAAACTGTATGTGCATCTTCAAATTGTAGCTGTTTTTATTCTAGCATGAATCCTGTAATATAGTAAGTACTACCAGAATCAACAGATGACTATGAAGTCAGCTTAAATCTGATCATTCATCCCATGAGAAAACCAGAAAATGCTCTTTATTTTCAGACTACTACTGCATGAGGTAAAAGCTACTAAAATCATTCAAGCAAATTAATTTAAACTGATTAAAACCAACAGAAAATTACCTGAAATTCTGGAACAGGAGGCTTCGTGACAGATTTCCTTTTCTTTGTAATTGCTTTTTTAGATATGGATTTCTTTCCTTGAAGGAAAAAAGAGGGTTATCAAATTATATATGGATTGAAAATTAAACTGTGACAATAATTCATAGCAAGCAACACTGTTTCAGAGTTATAAGTATCTCTCCAGGTGGCTACTTGAATCCATGGAGTATTTGCAGCATTTAAAAAAAAACCACACACACCCTAGACATATCAGTTAATTTAACATTTAAATACATCCTTTCACTCAATTCCATGTTGTGAACCAACATATTATAAAAAGTACTCCATGTATAAACACTTAATATTTGTAAAGTTCCAAAGGTCACACAGGCCAAACTACTGGTGCTGTTAACGCTAAATATGCTTTTAAAAACATTTTAAAGTTTCTAAACATACTACATGCACACGCACGCACACTCACCCCATGCATAGTTGCATTTCACGGTCTCTTTTTGGTCTACCTGTGTTAGACTGAACAGTCTACTTCTCAGAAGTCAACACATAAAAGCTTTACACAAGACAAACATCCCCAGACCTTTGCATTGCACAACTGACAGGAGCTGAAAATCCCCTAACAGCGGTAACTTACTTTGAGTCATCAAAAAGAGCAAATAAGATGTATTCAACAAAAGCAACCAGCCACATAGTGATATACTGGCAACAGGCATCACAAACCGCCCCCACCCTCCTAAGTCCATTTGTATTCAGAAAGAGATCCATTGTAAATGTGCATACAACGGAGTAGCTGCTGGGTGTTTGTGCTTCAGTTCTCTCTGTGAAATGGCATGTACTCTTCCCACAATAAATTTAATAATCCTGTATTAAAGATAATTTTACTCCCTTTATTATTCTACCTCACAACAGCACAGAACAGAGTATTTCTCTCTTATCAACCCCACGGAGAATGAATACCAACCTTAACTACTTAGGGATCATAGAAAACAAACTATCATCAGAGAAGATGCAGCTATTTTTCCAGGGTGCACTACTGCTCAATTAAACAAACAGACAATATGAATGACTGATTAACAAAAGCATCAGGCATCAGACTGAAGATGCAGCATGGGAACAAGGAAGAGAGCAAAATGTGCATGTGTTATAGTAGCCAGTACAGCTGGGAGCCCACTGCAGGAAAGCCATCTGATTTTATGTTTGCATGGATTTCTATACGGAACTTTTGGAGGTTCTGCTGTCAGAACTGAGGAAGGAGCCATATCTGTTGATGCCCTATTAAGCAAGTCCCAAAACAGAAGGCCTTTCAAATTCTATTCCTCAGAACTATTTAGAAGTATTATTGAACATGATACCCACACAAAACACTCATGCACATGAACAGCAAACAGAATTATCTAAATGCTAATCCTTATGTGGCTAAAATGGCTTCATTTATACCCAAGAGTGAGGTATTAACAGGTCTGGGAGAATCACAGGAATTACAGAAGTACAGAGAGGGGGGGAGGGGAGAGGGAAAGGGGAAAAAAACCCTAAAGGGAAAGTGGATCCTGAAGAGCCCAACAAGGACTCAGTATGCTTTGCAGTGAGGAAATGTTTACTAAGTATTGGGAAGAGCGCAAAGCATAAAACTGTGTGAACTGAGAAGCTCTATTCCTGAATAGGATGACTATTCCATACTGCAACTTGTTGTTCTGAGAGCCCTTCTTTATTTTAGTGCCTTTGAATACTAACTTCAACTGCAGAGTTTGGTAGAAAGTCTCTATAATCCTTCATTTGGTGTCTGTCTAATGTCTGCAGAGTCCCGTAAACCTGTCTTTTCAAAGATGTGGAAGGTGAGATGTATAGAAACAAATATCTAAGAGATCAAAAGGGCATGTTTATACCTTTCTCTTAGTTGGTGCATGAAATTGAAACATGACATTAAATACAGAGTCAATACACATTAAAATATTCTAGTATATTAACTGCAATGACCAGTCAAAATATTTCTTTATATTACTACAGCAGGTGAGAATACTGTATTATCCTGTCCCATTTGAGAAATATTCTATGCTATGAGAGGAGAGAAGGTATGTTTGGATCTTCTGGAAGATCAGCAAGGTTTTTCAAATTTCAGTTGTTAAACAGAGAGTTTGGGTTAATCAGAAATCAGCTTTTGTAGGAAAAGAGCTGTGTGCTCCACTGATGTGTTAAAAATATTCCTGCACTCAGCAGCTGCTCAGGCGCTCCATTTACTTTATTACCAAAACAGAAGTAGTAGTAATTTTGAGATTTCTCCCAAGTAGTTTTTTCAGGTGAGGTACATATTATCTCTATTGCTGCCTTAAATTTATTCAGGCTGTCGAAAAATGATTTCTCTATAAATTATGCAAAACAGCCCTCCAGAAAAAAATCAAAACAAAGTACTATAGCAGTGATGGTGAACCTTTTAGAGACCGAGTGCCCAAACTGCAACTCAAAACCCACTTATTTATCGCAAAGTGCCAACACTGCAATAAAACCTGAATACTGAGATTTTAGTTTAGAAAAAAACAACTAAATGTGATGCTGCAGATTCAAATATGCCAGGGGGACAGCACAACATTAAAAGAATCTCAGTCTCTTAATTAGAACATATCTTTGCTAAATCTTATTAAATTTTCATTTTTCATAAGAAAATTCAAAGCTAAAATCTTGCGTTAATAAAAACAAATGTATTAAAACCAACAGCCAGTCCAAACAAATATATATATATATCCTTGGCAGCACACTGACCAGCCATGCAAAAGCTCGGACAAGTCATGGTTAATGAGTCACAGCTCGCGACATCATTGCCCGACGTGCTACTCATGGCCCCTGTGTGCGCTGTTATTCAATGCTCGGCTGCTGGGGTGATGCTGGAGCGACTTGGCTCGCATGCCGACAGTGGCACGCTTGTCATAGGTTCGCCACCACTGTACTATAGGAATCAGTCAAATTTCAGGAAAGCAAAAAGGGATACACTGTAGTTTTCATAGATTTAATTAGTGCAACTAAGATTTCTGAAGAAACTGATTATGAGGATACCTATTGTCTCATATCTCATCACTGTCCTTATTTTAACAAAGAAAATGAAGTAGTCATTGATCCGGAGGTAACTGACTTGCTAACCTATGTCCATTTGTTTGAAAAAAGTTGTATTTTGACAATATGCCTGGATGCTTAAGAATGGGATGTCACTCCTAAACTGACAACAGATATGAAAAATAAAGTACACTGAAAGTAATGAAACTGTTTTAAATAGTATGTTAACAATGTTCTGACTGTTCTAGTCTTGTATACTATACTAATCTTAAAGTAATCTTCTGCATAAATGAATTACAAGTGGACAAGATGAGAACAAATTAAACTTTGAGACAGAGTATGTGCCAAAAAAGTACAATAGAGATCTTCAGTCAAAAGTTAACAGCGTATATTAGGTAAGGAACAGTAGGGAGTAGAGATGAATCAGACAACTGAGTCAGAGACCCAATGAACTACTGACAGAAATCCAGGTAAAGTCTTTGGGGAAGTTAAAGGTTTCTTTAGACTTAAGTTTCAACAGCTCTAGTTTAAGATGGTAATACTAAGAGGTATTAAAGGAGAAACACTAATGATTTCTTGTAATTATTTATACTTTGAATTGTGTATCCTGTGCTGATTCAAATGGTCCCCAGTCTAAGTATGGAATTACTACATTTTGTTGAATAAGAATACTTAGATTGACACTTTGAAACATCTCTGCGTGGAAGCAAAGCTTCAGAACACAGCTGAATACCAGCATTTGTGTTTCCTGCTTGTTTTACCTGAGTGCAATCAGTATTTTAGACAACACTGTCTGCATCAAGTAGACAAGAGTCAGATAAAACTGAAAACTCAAGTAAACACACACTAATATAAAAAAACCCTTACGGTGGAAATTATGTGGATATAACACCCTGGACGGTGCTATAATGATTTGTTAGCATTTTGTGACAACAGTTTAACAATTTAGAAACACCTCCATCTTTCTTGTTGAAATCTGTTAGATTCAGCTATCCAAATTATAAGCCTCTGCCTTGATTGGGGAAAGCTCAGATTTTACAATTTAATTCTTTCACTTCTGTTGCTCTGCCTCTCTACCTCTCCATGGAAGAAATAACTACTGATATTCCACCATTGTGCAAGGAATATAAAATATTCCCTGTTGGGTCATACCAAAAGCCTATCTAGTCCAGCAGTGGCCAACCCCTTGGGAAACCCACAATTAGAACATAAATGCAGTAAGTCCTTTCCAGCACTTGATCCCCAGCAACTGGCATTCAAAGCATCAGAATCAGGAGCTTCCACAATATGAAAACCCACACCAGATTCTAGTTATGGAGCAATATTGTGAATAATTGATCATTGCCTAATTAGTGATTAAAGCTAATAACCCTTGCAAGGAGAGAATGGTAACTTGCACACCATTTGTGACTAGGTTCTTCTGACTCCCGAAACCCATTCTTCTCAATAAGAAGCTACTGTATGCTCTACCATAGCTTGCCTCAACCTGGTGCCTTGCTTTTTGGACTACAACTTTCAACATTTCTGGCCATCTTGGTTAGGGCTGATACAAATCTCAGTCCAACGTATTTAGAGGGCACCAGGTTGGCAAAGACTTCTAACCCTGTAACTTCCAAACAATGTTCAATGGTTGAACGCACACTAAAAGGATTTAGTTTGAATATGAATGTTTTAACCATCATGATGTTTATCTCTCACAGAAATTGCACCAATCTCCCTTTTTGTACTAACAAATCATTGAAGTGTATGCTAAACCACAATGCCATTGCTTAATGCTCACAGAATAGGAGATGCTAGAAGACTCTATTTTGAGCCCACCAAAATGCTTTCTTTTTTTAAAATTAAAACATTACCTAATGGTAAAATGTACCAAGCATTATAGGGGATGGTAACCAGACAAATGAAGAGCACTGGGGGAATGGATGGGATAAATGAATCCCTTCCTCCACAGCAGTTTGCAAGCTAAACTGCTCCTCCAATGTTGATATGTGCCCTGTAGGGAAAGCCATACAAATACTTATAAGTAACACTGTGACACTGTGCAACTTTAAGCTAAAAATTCTTCAATGACATCCAAAAGATGAAGCTATAGTACTTCTTATCAGGTTATCAGTTTTTATTTTTTACTCTAGTTTTTCACTGGCTATGCTACAATATACTATCAGGACTGGACAAACTCACATTCACTGGAATCATATTTCAGAGCCAATATCAAGTGAGGGGTTTTGTTTGTTTTTGTTTATTTTAAATGCAACAGCAACCAACTCTTGTAATTTTTCCAGCTGTGCACAGAAACCTGTATCATGCAAATCATCTTCATAGCATATCATCTTACCAGACTTGTGCTTCTTGTGCTTGGCTTTCTTTTTCATCATGAGTAACTTATTCTGAATTTCAGATTTACAAGATTTAAATGAGTGGAGGTGAATCTCACGTTTCCTCTGAAGGTTTTCATTCAAAATATCTTTCAGCTTCTTTTTCTTCTTCTTCTTCTTCTTTGCTCGCACTTTACTAAACTTCAGTGTTTTGTTTTCTACAGAATCCTCTGCAGTCACTTCTTTAGCAATTTTGTGGCAGTTACTCTCTGGATTGTCACTGTGATTCCCATTCACGTGCACCAGGCAAGTTTTAAGAGTGTTCTCCTTTAAAGGGGTGACCTCTGTTTTCACTACTGATGATTCACCACATCTTTCTCCATTTTCCACAATCCGGATTTCACCTGGGCTCAGAGGTACCCCAAAGCCAACAAACTCGCCTGGATCAATTACCTTATCCCTGTTTTCTTTACAGCAATCTGTTGTAAAGTCACAGTTCTTTTGAATTCTCTCTTCATAGTTGGATTTCATTTCTTTTTCTGGCATGACATTTGGGATGTCCAAATGGATTTTTGTTGAGCAAAGATTTTTTCCTGGTTCTGCTTTTGTCTGAGGCAAAAGTTCTTCTTTAGCACTACGTTTAACTTCACCATTGCTTTTGGTGACATATTCACATTTCACTTTCTCCAGTTTAATCCGTGGTATTCTTTTTACCTTAATGGGAGGAACTGGAAATTCAGGAGCATGAAAAGGCTTCTGTTTGTAAATCCGTACATCTGCTCCACAGAACTGTGGGAAGTGAACATAGGCATGTTCTAAGTAATCGTAACCTAGAATTACCTCCCTGCATTCATGGATAGGCTGACCAAGTACTGCATCTTGTACATCCTTTTGTGTTTCATATACATAGTCACAGAGACCTTTTAACAGCCACACTTTTTGACAAAACGGGAGCTCATGAAATGGTTTTTCCTCCAGAGGATTAACTTCTCCAAGGACTTTAAAAAACTGAGGACAAAGACCAAGTTTTTCTGCACAACTGTCAGGATTGTCAGTTTGCCCCACAGCTGTATACCACTGCTGTACTTTCTGCTTAAGTGCTGCTTCCCAAGTTCTATAAGGAAGAGTTGGCCTTCGATGTAAGGTAGACCTTCGATGAGGAGGACTTAATAAAGAAGTCATTATTTTAGATAAAAAAGCACTACACTGAGGCACCAAAAGGCAGCGTTCTAACTCATAAAAGACTATTTCAGGCAAGTTTAAAATGTGTTGTGCTAAACAAAGGAAGTGGCCAATCGCTGGGATTTCCCACATGTTTTCCATCCGAGAAGGCGCTGCTTGAGATAGAAGGGACTTCTCCCATTCTTCTATTTCCTTTTGACTAGCTTCTTCTGCCTCTTTTCTTTCTTGTTCGCGAAGCCTAATAAAGTAGAACAAAAACAATTTAGGGTTAATCTGTATGCAGAAAGTCCAGTAACCAAAGCACAAATAAAATATGTATCTAAAAGCAAAGTAATGCATATAACTCAGTCATAATGAAATCCATCATCCAATAATAAATGGTGGATTTTGGCTTTTACATTATTCAGTTGCCAAACTGCAGCTATCCATCAACTAGATCAGCAGACAACAACACAGTGCCCACAAATGCCTAAGCAGACAACAACACAGTGCCCACATCTTTGGCACTCACTGATTTCTAACTAAAAGGAAAGACAGTTCTTCACAGTGGCTGGGACTGCAGTCAAGCTAAATGAGAACTCTCAGCTGGCACCATCTTCATTTCAGTATGAAGATGAATTTCATTCGCTGTACAGCACATGAAACTATGCCATTCCAGAAAATACCCCAACTCAGGAGTAGCTTTTCATAAGGAAGAGGGGGCTGCAGAAGAGAAGGGCAGAATATTCTGCAGCATAAACATTTATGTCCCATTTTTTTAAAAAAATCCAAGCTATGATGTGCTGCACTGTAAATATTAGTATAGGTTAAGACTTTATCCATTTAGAAAAATCTCCAGATCAATAAGCTAATAAAAGCATATGAATAAGTATTTCCCACATAAATTAATGGGATTTTAAAATGCTTAATTCTAATTTAGTCTAAATTCCCAACATCTCAACAAATGTTTTCTCAAGTTAAAAATACTCAGCATTAAACCTTCTTCATCTTCTTAGTTAAAAACTTTTAAGATTTGTTTTAATTTCATGTATAACCATCTTTTTCACTATATATTTTCAATATATTTAGTACAATTTCCAATTATGTAGAGACTGTTATAAATGCACTCTGCCCACACCTCTAATTTATTTGCACTTCCCCACACACACATGAACACACATTGAAGCAGAAGAAAATAAATGTTTCCGCCATCAGATCCACCACTAAATAACAAATGTAACAAACTTTACAAACTTGATTTTACCAAAAAACAAAAAAACACAACCCTACAATTCAAGCATGTCACAAAAACTCAAGCTGCATTCGCAAGCAGTGAAACACACTCAAAGCAAACAACTCTCAGAATGCTACAAGACCTCATTCTTTATTTAATACCAGTTTCTGAAGCTACTCCTTCCTGTGAAACCAGGCATGCTTGTCATTGTTAACTGGAGAATACATTTATTTCTACCTAATGGCTAATCACAGTTTAATGAGTGGGAAAACAATCCAGTGGTAGCACTCCGCTAACTGTAGCACTCCAGAAACTGTTCTCTCACCCCATGGAGTCCCCTATGCAGTCTCAAAACCTGCTCCAGAGGTCTGGGAAACATTCCAGAGCAGATTTTCCAGTGAAATGGAGGGCTGCAGTGGTGGTGAGGATATAAAATGTTAATTTAAGATTGAGAGTTCCCTACATTTTTTTCTCAAATTGCTTTCAGAACAATGTCTTAACTTTCTGCTATTACAAGTACCAGGCACATTTTTTAAAACTTATGAATACAAAGGAAGGCAGAAGGCGGATCTTCAGATGATTGGGAATTCAACTTCCAGAAGTCCCTATTCACACTAGGGCAAATTATCAGGAATGCTGGGAGTCCAAAACATCTGGAGATCTATTATCATCACACCTGTATATGGATGGCCCAGTTCATATTTAGCTCCAAGCCATTATTTAGTATTATGAGAATGAACTCCCAGTGCCTCTTCATCACCTAGAATGAGCTAAAGCGGGAGACTGGAAGCATTTAAACTAACTGTATTTTGATGTTTACTCAGTCAGTGGGCTGGTTTACATGATTCACAGTGGTCATGTATTCTAGCATTATGTAAAGGTCATTTAAACCTAATATAACCCATATTCTCCAGGTTTCCACAACAGAGCAATCCACAATCTAGCACTGAATATTCAAGAAGACTACCTACAATGGGCTGTTTTGATCATGCAAATCAGGTCAGTATCTAATTGTGGTTGGTTTAACCGAAGTTTAGTGAAGCAGGCCAATATCAAGCCACTGAATCTGATCCTGAACAGTTTCAATGAATTACATATTAAACTAACTGCTATTGCCAATCCAGATGTAATGACAAAAATAGATGGGATTAGAATAAATGTATACAACTGCCTTTGCGTACCACAGAAATAATAGAAACATTGAATAGTAGAGTTGAAAGGGGCCATGAAGACCATTGGGTCCAACCCACTACTGTTGCAGGACACCAATTTATACAATCCCACTTGGATGGCTGACCAGTTTCTTCTGAATGTCTCTAGTGTGGGAGAGCCCACAACCTCTTTAGGAAACTGGTTCTACTGCCATATTGCTCTGACAGTGAGAAAACTTTTGCTGATATCTAGCCTCAATCTAGGTTGTTGCAACTTAGATCGATTATTCCATATCCTACTCTCTGGTATCAGCAAGAAAAGATCTTGACCTTCCTCTCTGTGACAGCCTTTGAGATACTTATAGAGGGATATCATGTCCCCCCTCAGTCTTCTCTTCTCAAGGCTGAACATGCCCATTTCTCTCAGTCTCTCCTCACAGGGTAGTGTTTCTATACCCTGGATCATTTCTGTTGCCCTCCTCTGGACCTTTCTATTTTTTTCTGAATTTTTCTTAAATCTTGGTGTCCAGAACTGGGTACAATTTCCAGTTGAGGTCTGACTAGTGAGGAGTATAAGGGAACTACTGCATCTCATGATTTGAAGTAATACTTCTATTAATGCATCCCAAAATAGCATTTGCATGCATCCCAAAACAGAAGAGAAAAGAAAGGATATGTGAAAACTTCAGGGAAAAACACGAAAAGTTGGGCAATAGGAGAGATAATGAATTCCCCCACACCAAAAAATTTCCCAAGTTTTTTGCAGGGATTTTTTAAAAATTGAGGAAAAATATAAATTTCTTGGTTTTCTCAAAACCTTCACACTTCGAAGAGGGTGAGTGGTCAGGTCTGACACTTCAGCAGATTCATTCACTTAACAATACATTGTGGCTCTTGATATATATGAACCAGATCACTTGCGCGCGCACACACACACACACACACACACACATAGTTACCATAGAGTATTCATTTAGTTATGTTTATTAAATATGAAAGCCACACTAAATCTGAACCTAATGGATTCAGAGCATAGGAAAGTTTTCCGTATTAGATGTTTTCTAGGAATCTCATTTCATGCCTCTAATCATTTCATTGACGACTGAAGAGCTACAAAACACAATGTGGGCCAAAGTATCTATACATTTCCTTTGGATCATAGCCATTGTTGAGCAAATTTAAGTAGAAAATTGAGTATTATGCTACTATGCACTTGAATAATTCAAATTATGCTGTTACATATGATCAAATAAAAGAACATTGGCTCACATATTCACATCCCATAGCATAATTTTTCTATTCAATTTTGCAGGTTTATCTGACAAAGTACAGTGGTACCTCAGCTCACGAACGCCTCAGTTCATGACCAAATCGGGTCGCGAACAGAAATTTCAGAGAAAAATTGCCTCAGATCATGAACTCCGCATCAGGTGACAATCGCGATCACGTCCCTGAACAAGTGAGAACCCAATTGCACTCCTGTAGGGAAGACAGGTGCGATAGCGGTCGTGCTTGGGGGGAGGAGATGGCTACAAGCTTTGTTGTTCTTTGTTACTTTGTTTTCTTCGTCACTGTTTCAAATTTTTGTGATAAAAAGGTAACAATGGATTAACCTTATTTACATGGCACCTTATGGGGAAATTTGACTTGGCTCACAACCAATTTGGGTCGCAACCAGAGTCGTGGAATGGATTAAGTTTGTGAGCCAAGGTACCACTGTATAATGAGATTTCCAAATAGGTAACCAAACTGTAATGCATTCTAAAACCCTGGGAGAATCTCTCTTTTGGTAACACACATCTCTTCTACTGTCTGATAATAAGTTCTCCTAAACTAAAAGATTCCTGTAAGATTCCAATTTAAACATGTAGTAGTTCTAAACACTTTAAAACCTTAAAAAAAGAAGACTGACATACTGCTGCTAAACAAATTCACTAGGAACAGTTCACCTATATGGAGTAAGAATTGCAGACAAGCATTTTCAGAACTAGAACAGAGTTGTCTCTTTCAGACAATTCCTTGTGTAATTTATAAGGAATATGTTTGCAGGCATAAAAATAAAAAAACCTATACATTAGTAACTTTGTAGATTTCTTATGATTATTGCATTACACTTATGCCCAGCCTTTCTTCTTGCAAGAAAACCAAAGCAACTTAAAAGGTTCCTCCTTTCAATTCTATCCTCATAAGAACTACTCTGTGAGGTGGATTTGGCTGTGAGTTCATGACTGGACTGAAGTCATCCAAATGAGATTCAAGGCTGAGTGGGAACTAGAACTCAGATTTCCCAAGCTCTAGTTCAATATTCTCACCACTATGCCATACTGGCTCTCCTTTGTCAGAATGACAGAATTATGTTCCTTAAAGTACACAAATGGCATCATAAAGGTTAGGATCCATCTGGCTCCATAAGCACAAACGAGCACTTTCACAAACTTGTCAGGACTGCCCTTTGTTACTGCCAGCTGACTGCTGACTGTCAAAGACTGCTTCCAAAAGTCCTTTTTTTTTTTTTTTTTTACGGGGGGGGTTGTTTTTGTTTCAGGAAGATGTAAGGATGAAGCCACAAGGTTGGAATGGGGAGGAGAAAACTTCAAGAAACTTCCTGAAAATTAGCTCCCAGCCTACTTTTCATCCTAATCTATCTTAACTTGAGCCATACAGTGGTCTGCATGATGATCTATAAAAAAAGCTAGCATGCCACTGCTGTGCACACAATCAATATGCATATACAAACTTGCATGCCTGCAAGCACAGAGCAATCATGTCAATGAACCCTTGCTTCAACGTAAGTGAGGAAAAGAAAGAATAATCCTAAGATTTTTTTAGACAGCAATTATGAAAGCACATTGACAATCCTTCAAATGATATTCAATGACAATACTTAGGTTAATCCAGCATCCCTACCCTGGTGCCCTTCAAATGTATTTGACTACAATTTCGACAATCTCAGGATAGTATGACCATGTTTGTAATAAACTAACATATTTGAATGACACCAGGGTGTGAAAAACTATTAGTCACCAAAGACCATATGGACTATTTCCAAGATAAAACATGATTGACATTGGGAGCCAAACACACATATCTCTAGAATGCCCTTTGCAGTAAATGTTCAAACCAACTATAACCCTTTCCAAGATATTACAAGAACATCATTGACAAACACATACCCATCAATCATCAAGGAGGAAAAGTTTAGGCCTCATGACATAGGACTGATACTTCTGAATTCTTTCCCATATAATATAGATAAGGTGACCTATTAATAACACAAAAATGAAAAGGCAAATAGAATAAAGCTGATAAATATTGAACATTAAAACGGCTTTTGCATTTGCTGAAGTTTGAATTTTAATTTCACTTGGTGATTTCAGGAATTACAAATTCTAGACCTGTATTAGAATTTAGTATTTTACATGGCTAACTGACCCATGACCACTTGTACAACCAAAGCTACTTTCTCCAGTACCCTCAGCAGTGCACTATCCAAAAATATGCAATTAAATGAAAATCTTTCAATTCATCATATAGACCTGGTTCACTCACATTAAACTATGATTCAGCAATATGTGGATGCATAGCTACAAGCTCCCACCTTCCCATCTCCTCTCTGTCTCCTGTGCAACGGAAACAAGACACAACTAAAATTCAGTTACTATGATTCCTGACTTATTCCATACAAACCAGGATCTCTGGTTAGGATTAGAATTAAATTCTAGACTGTAATACAAGCCAACTAAACAACCATTGATTTAAAGCTGGCATTTTAAAAATGGACTATATTATTTATAACCTTTTTCCTATGTAATAAGCCACAAATTGTAGAAGATGAAACTTGGTTAAGACTTCTTCCAGGCAGCAGGAGCAAGAATCAACTTGGTGATCTTCGCTGAGGCAAAACAAGAGGAAGGCATTTTTATGCAATAGCAGAAGTGTTTCTGAAAGGCTGCAATGAGAGCCATTGGAGAAAGGTAAGAAAAAAGACAAGATGAAGGTAAAGGTAATGGTAGAAGGGTTTTTAAAATTTTTTATTGAAGAAAAAGGGTAAAAGTTGTATGAAAAATGTGAAGGAAAGTAGGTTAAGTAGTTGGGTAGAGAATTAGGAATTGGAAGGTTTTAAAAATCTGAGGTAAAAATGTAGGTAAAAGAGAAAGAGCTAAGATCTCAAGACACTCAAAACAGCAGTCAGAAAAGAACTGGGGAAAATGACAGGAGTCCGTCCTATTTATACTAGAGGGAGATGGGGTGGGGCTCCCACCAAAACTTAGCTTAGCTAGGAAATCTTCCCAACAAAAGGTACTGCACAGGTGCAGAGCCCATGTGTGTGATGCACAGAGACCTCAAAGAACTGCATTAAAAAGCTCTGTTCCAATATGTGAAATGTTCTGCCCTTGTACAAACTGAATTCTCCCTACACAGCTAAACTTTCAGCCAAATACAGTAGAGAATAACCTGCCTCAAAGATGCTTCACTGTACAGAGTATGGCTACCATTATATTTATGATTCTGAAATAAACTACAAGCACAGGCAAATCCATGCAAGAAATAATTACTTGCATAACTTTTAAGCACACAAATGATGTATCATCCCAGAAGTCATAATCTAGACACCAATGTCGAGATCAGAGTTGGGCAATCTATGTGTCACATGAAGCCCCTGTTGCCAGATTTGGTGCAACAATTCAAAAAGGAAAGAAATGGCATCCATAACTATATAGACCACCAGGAAGGTCCAATTAGCTAGTTTGCAGACTAGCCTGTAACACTTCTTGTTGGCAAACTTACAATTTTTATTTTTTAAAATACATTGGGAGCACTATTCACAGGCAGGAGGTATCCAGGAATCAAAAATGAATCCTAGCTCTTCCACAGTTGCCCATCCCTGGTCTTGATCAACAACAGAAACCAATATAAAGGCTTTTTATTCACTCTCAATATTTGATCAGTTTGACCTCCATTACTCTTTCCAATTCCAACAACATTTAAATTATTTTATTATTATTTATTAGATGTATATCCTGCCTTTTTTCTTACAAAGAACTCAAAGCAGCTTACATCATTCTCCTCCTCCTGCTCTCCATCTTATCCGTACAATACCAACCCTGTGAGGTAGGTTGGGCTGAGAGTCTGTGACTGGCTCCATGGCTGAGTGGGGACCAGAACACTGATCGCCTGAGTCCCAGTTCTGTGCTCTTAACCACTATACCACATTGGATCTCTGTACACAGCCTTTGGAAGTGGGAAGAAAAAAGACAGGAAGAAAGTCTGGGCTGGCAGATTATTTAGCCAGCTATAGGACCTTGTCATTCTGTTAAGTTCCTCACAAGACGCAGGAATTGGTAAGTGGAACAGAAAACTGTTATGCGTAGAGTTCTAATACACTGGTTTTATAACCAAAATTTCTCTAGGTTTTCCCTCCACAGATACTAATCATAAGTGTCAATTTTTAGTGTTATTAAATATAAATGCAAAATAAAAGTTTCCCCAAAAAAGGAAAAAAACCAAAACATTTTCAACATAAATATTGTTGAAGTGGATTTATTCCACTTCTGACAAGTTAACATCTTTAATATTTTCCCATCAGGTCACCAGATCGAAACAACTATAAAGAACTGAATCATATGGGAACTTTTGCATGCTAGCGAAGTCAGATGATCAGATGCCAAAAATGTATATCAGCGTTAGTAGCAAACCCTTCATTAAGTTTAATTTTGTTTAATGGTAGCTTTCCAAAGCAGGTTAGTCAACCCATTCAGTAGCTTTCTCAGTACTTCAGGTTCTCCCATTTCTTCTTCCATTTTCCCCAAGTGGTGGAACTTCTTTTATATATCACCAATATCTTAAACATAATTGGCCAAAAAAATTTAACTGCAGGTTCATATCAAATAATAATGAGGAATAAAAACACTCTCCCAGTAATGTGGTGCTTTGCTATGCAACTGTAATTTTAACTAATTAAATGAAACTTTACAAACATTTACAGAAATGCATGAATGAAATGTGAAGTAAAATATGGATGAGCAGAGAGAGAACAGAAACACCAGATCCTTTTATTGTAGGTTATCAAAGCTAAAACTATTTCCCAAGGCATTACAATTAAAACATGTTTCAAACATTTAACCACTTTAAAAATACATTTTGAATAAAAAATAAATTTGACAACAGACGATACCATTGCATGTATATCAGAATACCTACAACTGTTGTTTAACTAGGTAGAGATCCCAAGCTTGAAAAGTCTATTTTGAGCCAGAGTGATGGGCAAGTGACATTCCAGAGGAGCAAAGTTCAGGGATGGGAAGGTGGAAATAGCTAAAAACAATCCACTTTTGCCTTTTACCTCTTTTCTTCTTTTGCTCTCAGTTGCTCTTCCTGTCTCAGAACCTGAACCATTATGGATTCAAACACGCCTGTGGTCAAGCCTGCTAAACTGCGTGGTGTAGAACGACGCCTTGTTGAAGTACAAGCTGTTCCCTTCTCATCTTCCAGCCCATAGAACCCTTTAGATGTTACTCCTATTGCTGTCTTCTCTCTCAAATGCCTTGAAAGAAAAATCAAATCAATGCACAAGAATATTTTTCCTGGCCAGCAGTAATCCAGTAGCTACACTTACAAAACTTAATAAAAGGGCTAAGTAAAATAAATAAGATTGCTATTCAAATGCTACTATTGCATTTGAAGAAGGTATTCTTCATAAGAGAACATGCTGTTCACCTTTAAAAAAACAGGATTGGGTTTATGCTTTCATTTGATATTTGAAAAACAATTCTTTTTAGAGAATGGACTGATTTTCTTCTGAAGAGACAATTTGGCTTTCTCAAGCAGGTTTCCATTTATGTCTTTTTAACAGTAATAACATAAACTTACTGTAAATGTATGCTTCAAGAAAAACTACCCCAAATAATCTTAAACATAAGAAATATTGCAAACCCAATGCAATACTGCTTAATCACATTTCCCATATTATAGTCTAATTATCAAATGCTAAACTAAAACAAAAAGTAAAACTGCAATCTTATGTTTACTTGAGTATAAATTCCACTGAATTCAATACTTCCAAAGGAACATGCATAGGATTGGGCCTGCCCTGGCTATATTGGGGAACCACCTAGAGCAGATTTGGCAGGGAACTGCAATGAGAAGAGGAAAAGGGAAATTCCCCCTGTGTTAACATGATATTGGAACCCTGTCATTCTTTCCCATCTGCATTTTATATATGACTACAACACTTTGTAGCTCCTGTAGCTTTAAACCTCCTCTCTAGGATTTAAGTTATTTTACAAAAGTAAGAGATTAACTGTTTTGGGATTACAGAGGTTATCAAGCAGTTAGTTAAATCATGTTTTGAAGATATTTATTTCTTCTTTAAAGTGTGCAATTAGACTACTGAATAATTGTGTTCTACAGATCCAGTTTTCTCCCCTTTCAAGTGTGACATAACTAAACCATCGTTTTCATATCACTGTAGTACCAGCTACACACTTTCTACCAAAACAAAGTACAAGTAAAAATCTCAACTAAGAATATTATCTTCCATATACCATCACTAGCTGTCATGCAACAATTTCAGGAAACTTTGGTGTACAAATTAATGACATCTTTGTAAAAGTGTCCCCACTAACATAGAAAAATCTTTTACTCTCCTTCTCCTTTTCTTATTAGTGGATCTAGAAAAGCTCATCCATCCTTTTTCTTGCTTTTGAGGTCCTTTTGTTTCATACCTTGCACTACTTGCTATTGTTATGCCCATTGGACATTCTTCTTTTAACAATATTTATTGCCCTATTTATATTCCAGTATGAATTTTATTAATGTCTGATTTGGACATTGTCTGAAATTATTAAGTATTTAGATCTGAGCTTGAAAGAAAAATACTAATACAGAATATAATAATTATATGAAAAAGAGGATATACAAACTGAGGATATTGTGGATTGCTTCATGTTTATATGTATCACAACCCCATAGCTCATGTAAGACAAGTAATTAGTTAGTGAACATGTTTATTTTTACTTCCCGCTTCTTTTTTGAAAAGGCTAGAATGAAAACATAAAATTTTAGGATACCCTCTAAAATTGTTTACTGGCAAGAATAAACTTAGACCCCAAGTCTGATCTTTACATGTACCATACAATTTATTATACATGGGTCAACATCCATTTAAAGGAAAGGATTTCATGTTCCTAGTCATCCTTCTTCACATCTCTAGACCTGTTCCAAAGGATCTCTCAACCTTACACCACAGATTTGAGGTGCACAGGGGAGGAGGGATTTGTTCTGCAAGCAATGCCTATTCTATGGCAAATGTACACTTATATTTTACAAAATCATTTTTTTGTTTAGTAACTTCCATCCTAAGCTTCAGCTTGTCAGATCAAGATTTACTGTAGTTCACAACCTTTCTTGCCACAGCATCATCAGATTGAATTACATTTACTGACTTACGGATGCTGTGGATTTCAGTACAAGATCCTCTGCTGGATAGATAGATAATATTCAATATATTGTATTATTTGTAAGTCACAGAGCAGCTCAGGATCAGCACTTATCTCAAAGTAACTTTATAATAATCATTTGTATTCCTACACTTTTTCAACATTTTGATAATCTTTCTGTGTAATTATAAGCTTTTCTGTGTTAATTCATTTTTGAGACTACTACATTGCTGTAGTCTTTGGGGGCTACAGCAGATTTCAAGTGACAAACAATCCCTTTTCCTGCTGTTTCAAAATGTACTACACTGTTCTTCCTCTTTTGTCTCCACTGAAATCTTTAAATAGTAAAATGAAAAGATCCCTTCAGTCTATATATTGCTTGTTTCAGAATGTGTGGAAGCAGAAACACCTTACTTATGAAGCCTAGTTACAGAAGAGAGGTCCAGTTTGCATATCACAATAAGTCACACTGAAAACACGCCATTGTGGGTTGGTTAATTGCTTTCTAAGCCACGCTACTGCCAACAAATGATAAGTACTTAGCAGTTTGCCATGGTTTGTTTCACCCTTCAACATCCTTCCCACTCTCAGCATATATCCCCAGGGTCTTGGCAGCACAATAAGTCTATACTCCTGGTGTGATGAGACTGTCACCACCACCACCAGCAGCTTTACAAAGCACTCGTACTAACAGGAATATGCCCTATCTTCAGAGCAGAAGCAAAGAAAATGCATACCCAGAAATAAGTCAGTCACACATAACTGCACTAACTCAGTTCACACGAAAAGTCAGTGGCTGTCAAGGAGTGCTGAGTTCCAGGAAAGAAGATTCGGAAAAGGGGTGGGGGCAAAGGGCACTACAAGCAGAGGTCAGACATTTTACCACTCTTGCAAGGTGGTATTGCAGTTCTTCACAATAATCCTAAGAAAACTACACTGGGTTCAGGCATCATAACAAGCCATCTTGAGTTGCTGTGTTGTGTGAATCAGGTCCAATACCTAAAGTGCTGAATTGCCCTCATTGGCACAGCTTCTCTTGTTGTCCAAATCCAGGAAGAAGGGCTTGATGGTCAGCAAACCACCCAGAACCCATGGGATGCTGTTGGGTTGTGGGGAGAACCTCACCAGATTCAGATGACATAAGAACCTATGATAGTGGGCACTTGCAGAGGAAATTTGCGCCCCACGTGCATGACAACCCATCATGGCTTATTTGACACAGGGGGTCCTGGTGTTCAAGCAAACCAGGCTAGTATGCCCCACCTCATTCAATGAGACTTGCTTAAAAATATATATGCAGATGATTGCAGCCTTTAAAATTTAACTTCAATTATTAACAAAGAAGAATGTGGAAAATATTTTTTGTATCAAATTTGATATATTCCAAGCAGTGATTTCAGAGTTTCAATTCTATACATAAATAATTTTTCTCCTGTCGGGGCCACATCTCATTAATTCCCCAGGATGTGTTTAACAGTGAGGGGATTACTGTCAGGTGGGAGAGTTCCCCTTTAACAAGTACAGGTCAGCAAAGACTTAACATTCAATTCTTAACTGAAATAAACTGAAAACCCAGAGCAACTTTCTGCCTACAGTTCTTGAGGGATGTATTTGATCATGATCACTGGTTTCATCTCATAAACTCATATTTCTAGCTTTCTTGTCCTCTATCACCAAACTGAGACCTAAAGATGGAGGCAAAAGTATTAAATAGGATCCCAGTGTACAAAGTTGAATTGTCAGCTTTAAATGAAGTGAAAGGCTTTAAATGCCAATAAATATGGGGAAAATAAAAACAAAATAAAGACTAAACAATAATAGCATAAATAAGGAAATCTGTACAAGCAAATGTAAGGTTAGCAATACTTCAGAATCAGCACACTTAACAATTTTTGTGGAATTGTTATAGTGTATATAGTGTATATAGTGTACACTATATATTGTACACTGTATATAGTGTACACCAGGAATATAGTGTAATCCAAGGCTAAGGAATAGCAAAAGATTCTTGAATTACCTCAGACTGGCAATACATTTCTGTTGCATTATCTCCTAGCCAATCATAGCTTTTTCAGTATACTACATTCTATTTCCCTCCCACTCCCATCAGTTATTTAGTTCTCCTCAGTACTATTAATTAGCATTCTATGCTCAAAGACTGTGGTTAGACCTCAAGTGATGGGCTTTGGGACACCCTCAAACCCTTAGGGTTTTCCTCCTCACTAAATATGGTGTCGCTTTATTGGGTTTGTTTGGCTGGTTGGTTGTGTTTTTTTGCTTTGTTTTTGTATTTCTGCAAGTGTACAGAATTATAATCAGTGAAAGAATTACCAAAAGGCAAAAAGATATGATGTTGGAAGATGAGTCCCTCAGGTCGGAAGGTGTCCAATATGCTACTGGGGAAGAGCAGAGGGCTAGTACTAGTAGCGCCAGAAAGAATGAAGCAACTGGGTCAAAGCTGAAAGGACACTCAGTTGCCTATGTATCTGGTGGTGAAAGGAAAGTCCGATACTGCAAAAATCTATACTCCATAGGAACCTGGAATGTAAGATCCATGAATCAAGGCAAGCTGGATGTGGTCAAACAAGAGATGACAAGACTGAACATCGACATCTTAGGAATCAGTGAACTAAAATGGACAGGAATGGGGGAATTTAATTCAGATGACCATCAGGTATACTACTGCGGGCAAGAATCCCTCAGAAGAAATGGAGTAACCTTCATAGTCAATAAAAGAGTAGGAAAAGCAGTACTGGGATACAATCTCCAAAATGACAGAATGATCTCAGTTCGAATCCAAGGCAAGCCATTCAACATCACAGTAGTCCAAGTCTATGCCCCAACCACTGTTGCTGAAGAGGCTGAAGTTGACCAGTTCTATGAAGGCCTACAACACCTTCTAGAATTAACACCCAAAAATGATGTCCTTATCATTATGGGGGTTTGGAACGCTAAAGTAGGAAGCCAAAAGATGACTGGAATAACAGGCAAGTTTGGCCTTGGAGTACAAAATGAAGCAGGGTACAGGCTGGTAGAATTTTGTCAAGAGAATACGATGGTCATAACAAACACTCTTTTCCAACAACCCAAGAGACAACTCTACACA